CATGGAACAGATACGTGGCAGAGACTTGAAGTGCCCAGTCAGCCCAGTTGAGACTCGTCTAGATCAGTGGTCGGCAAACCGTGGCTCGCGAGCCACATGCGGCTCTTTGGCCCCTTGAGTGTGGCTCTTCCACAAAATACCATGTGTGGGCACGCAAAAGTAGGGCGCGCAAGAGTAGGGCGCACATGCATGAGTTGAGTGAGACTGGCTACAAGACAAGTGTGGATGGGAGAGTTGGAAGGGGTCGACCTCAGCGAACGTACCTCAATCAGACTAAGGACGTTTTTAGCAAAGGCCAGCTTAGAAGTACCCTAATTAAGTTAATAACAATGTACCTACCTATATAGTTTAAGTTTAAAAAATTTGGCTCTCAAAAGAAATTTCAATCGTTGTACTGTTGATATTTGGCTCTGCTGACTAATGAGTTTGCCGACCACTGTGATAGACAATAGGGGCAACCAAGGCTGAATTGGTTCCATTTTGTTCCATCCAATACTTGTTATTCATTCGGCACATAATTTGTTATTCATCTAGCATGTAATTATTAAATGCATTTGTATTAGAACACTGTTTTGCAAACCTTACTGTATATGTAGGTAAATCACCTGAGATTCTTATTCCAAAGGTCCGGGGTAAGGCCTGAGGGTCTGCATGTCTAGCAAGCTCCAGAGGATTGCCGATGCTGCCAGTCCATGAACTGCACTCTTTGAGTAGTCAGGGACTACACAGAGTGTTAGCCCTTGGTTACATAAAGGCAAATAAGAGAACCATGGCCCCTGCCCTAATGGAGTTGGTACTCTAGCAATGAATATAAATATTAAAGAAGGAATTACAATTAAATGCAATGCTAGGCTAGGGGGTGTTCAAAGTTATTTGTAGAGGGGACCGAACTTCACCCAGGAATAAAATAAAAAAACTTTCCCAAGGAGGTGTTTAAGCTGGTAGGAATTTGCAAGCAATAAAGGAGGGAGAATATATTTCAGGCAGAGGGAACAGCATATTTGAAGGACTGCAGGAGAGAGAAAGCTTAGATATTCCACAAATACTTACTGATTGTTACTATTTGCAGCCTCTGTACTGGGTATAAGACCATGCCCTGGAGGGAGCACATTTGGAGAGACAGACATGAAATTAGACGGTTTCAAAATAACATGGCATGAGTTCCAATAGTGAGCACAGGGTGCCAGGTAATCCTAACCCAGCCCAGGTGAGAGGACACTTGAACTGAACCTTGTCAGCTGAGCAGGAATAAGGCAAGAGAAAAAGAGGCGGCAAGGTGGGAGAGCCAGTCCTCCCCTCTGCGGACGCAGTCTGTGAGAAAGTTGTGCCATATGATCTTGATTTTACTATATTACAATAATTGTCTGGGAGTAGTGCCTGGCACAGAGTAGGCACTCATTAAATATGTTGAATGGATGAAAATATAAATGTTGTGTTAGTGATAGGGTCAGGATAGCCTAGACACGGGTGGGGCAAAAGTAGGTTGACAGTTCTTTGTGTGGTAAATAATACAATAATTAATAAACAATAATACCAGAATAAACTCTGTTTCACGTACTCACAACTGTCAGCCTGCTTTTGCCCCACGCTGTATAATTGGGTACTAAACTGAGTGCTGCCAACTCCAAGGGCCCTGGGAGCCCAGAGCGCAAGAAGCTCCAGGAGACTGTAAACAAGAAATGAGCTTGAAGAAAGGGGACATCCGTAGACAGCCATCCTGAGAAGGAGGAACCACCCCTGTCTGCTGAGTGACTGGGAGAGAGAATGGGAAGCAAGCACCAGGTAGGGTTTCTTAGTCCAGGGCCCACGGAGCTCCTGGGACATCGATGAAGTCCCAGAGATGATATGCAAAAATCTCAGGTATATATGTGCAGGGCTATTTTTCTGGGGAAAGGAACTTGAACTTTTGTCAGATGGTCAAAGGAATCCAATGACCCAAACTAGGTTAAGACCCTGTAGGAAGCCTATGAATCACTTACGGGCTACAAATAGTTATGCCAATAGAACCGCAACACAGAAAACCCTGGGTCTGAGTCAGCTGGAGTGGTTCCAGCCCTGCCTTTCAGAGGCATTTTAGCATTTCCCTGCTGCTGCTTATCAATCCAGACCTGTCCATGTTGTCAGGGTGTCCTCAGCAGCCAATGGAGATGCCTCCTTCCCCAGGCTATTTACATGGACCGTAGTCTCTCCTTCTAATGAGTTTGCAGTGGGAACAATGCCCTCTTGTTCGACTGTCAATCATTTACATTTCTCTGATCTTTTCTGGAAGTTTCCGTTGAACAGCAATTGCTGCAGCCACCTGAGCATTGAACAGGCCACTAACTGGGACAGATGAAACAAATATACTGGAGAAGGGGGCTGTATGCTTATGGACTGCAGTACATTCATGGTCATGCATAATGGACCGGGCACTTTTCCACCTTCCTGCTTATGCTATCACAGTGAACACAACATTTACATATCTGGAAGAAAAAAGGATTTTATGAGTCATTAATAATAGATGCAGGGAATTTTTCTGTTATGCGTAAACATTTCCATGGCTTAACTTTGTACCCATTTTGGTTCAAAATATCTACAGTGTTTGCCCCTTACCATCTTCCTTCTAAAATACACTGGTGGTAATTGAAATGGTTCTTTTTCAATCAAGAATTAGGGGTTTGTTAAATAGCAATGAGGAAGTCCCCTATTTGAGGATACAGGCAATGGTTAAAGTTCTTAGAATAGAATAACTTTAGAGCAAAACCTTAGCCACCAGGTTGTACTAAGAGAAGTATCATGTACAGAACAAGGAAAGCAATAGTCCTTGCTCCTCAGGGCTAGACACACCGCGTAGGAAGTATTTTTCAGATCCGTCACTTAATGCCACGTTACAAGAGGGATAACAATAGGTGCGTGAAGCTGGTAAGCTCTCATGAAATGAAGGTGAGTGGTGATACCTAACACTCGTGGAGTCCTTGCTCAGGGCGTGGCTCTGTGCTTGGCATCCACATTTAATCTTCATAACCACCCTATGAGGGCACCACTGCTATTATCTCCATTTGACAAATAAAGAAACTCAGGGTCGTGCAGAGAGTCCGTGGAGGAACTGGAATTGCATGTGTTCTGTCTGACCCCAGGGGACCCACCATGTCAGCAGTGGGTATATTTTCCATTAATCTTGCTAAAGATGATTGGTAATTATGACAAGGAAATCATTGCCACTATGTGCATGTGTGTGTGTGTGCACCAGTCTTGATTAAAACACACGCACTTCCAGGGTAGTGACCATGTTAATTATGTACATATTTACTCCTCAGGCCTAGCACAGAGCTGGGCATATGGCAGGTCTTTCTTCTAGCTTTGCTGAATAAAATAACAAGTTTGGAAATGCTTCAAAAACCAACTCACCCATCAAATTATTGAGAGTGTGGGGACAAAAAGACAGTCTTGGGGTGTGAATTGTTGCAGTCATTTTAGAGGACACTTTGGAAGTAATTATCAAAATGTGTAAACCCCTTGACCACTGTAGTTACATGTCTAGAAACCTATTTGATCTATTCCACAGAAATACTGACACAGTAATCAACAAACGACAAGTGCTGGCGAGGATGTGGAGAAAAAGGAACCCTCGTGCACTGCTGGTGGTAATGCAGACTGGTGCAGCCACTGTGAAAAACAGTATTGGGTTCCCTCAAAAAATTAAAAATGGAACCCCCATTTGACCCAGTAATCCCACTTCTAGGAATATATCTCAAGAAACTAGAAACACCAATCAGAAAGGATATATGCACCCCTATATTCATAGCAGTGCAATTTACCATAGCTAAGATTTGGAAACAGCCTAAGTGCCCATCAGCAGATGAGTGGATCAAAAAACTGTGGTACATCTATACAATGGAATGCTACGCTGCAGTAAAAAAGAAGGGACTCTTACCATTTGCAACAGCATAGATGGACCTGAAGAGCATTATGCTAAGTGAAATAAGCTAGTCGGAGAAAGATAAATACCATTTGCAACAGCATGGATGGACCTGAAGAGCATTATGCTAAGTGAAATAAGCTAGTCGGAGAAAGATATATATCACATGATCTCACTCATTTGTGGAATATAATGAACATAAACTGATGAACAAAAATAGAGCCAGAGTCATAGAAGCATCGAACAGACTGTCCAACCTAAGAGGGAAGGCAGGGGAGGGGGTGATAAAAAGATAAACCAAAGGACTTGTATGCATGCAAATGAGCATAACCAATGGACACAGACATTAGGGAAGTGAGGCATGTGCTGGGGGATGGGAGCGGCTGGGGAGAGGTCAATGGGGGAAAAGGGAGACTTATGTAATACTTTAAACAATAAGGAATTTAAATTTTAAAAAAATAAAAAGAAATACTGATACAGTGTTACACAAAGATTTTATAAGTGTATATGTGTGTAAATACACACATGAAAAAATATATATGTGCACATATATAGGCATAGACACAAAGATATATATATTTATATGCAAAGATGTATACACAAAAATATATGGAATATATATGTGCATATGTATTCATTACAATTCTGGATGTATTTGCAAAATCAAATGGGAGCAACCTAAATGTCCAACAGGGAATAATTTTTTTTAATTATGGTACAACCACACAATGAAATAATATGTAGCCATTAAAATGTTAAAGTATATGTATTAGGTTGATTACATGAAACTGCCATTTCTTTCCTGTTCAGGTCTATAGAAATAGCATTTTCATACAGTTCAATTCGATATATGTACAGATACGAAAAACGTCAAAACATATTGGAAGCTGAAAAACACAAGTTGCAGAACAGTACATATAGTATGGCATATAATATAATAAACAAAATATAATGAACAAGAAAGAGGCTCACTAACAAGCTAACAAGGTTATTGGCACGGCGGGGGCGGGGGGGGGAGCCTTGAACAATGAGAATTTTTTTTGCAATTTGTTTTTAAAATGTATTTACTAAAATAATTACAAAGTATTTATGTATTTTGCAGACAGTTTTTCTGAACTACAAATTTTCCAAACTCCCGGAATCACCATATTTCTCCACTGGCATAGAGGAAGAGGATGATGAAGAATTAAGCCTTCATTGTTCGTGCCAAGAAACCCAGATTATTATGAGAACTAGGTAAAAAGCCGCACTTTTTCTTGGATTATCTCGAGACAATTGCCTGAACATTTCCTGCTTACTTTTCCTGTTTGAACCTGGCTTTTGAGATTAACATGAGTTGATCTGGTTTTCTGTGATTCAGAAACGCACAGAACTTGGCAGGCAAAGAAATACAAAGAGAGGAAGAAAAGCAAAGGGGAACAGGGCAGGGAGTGGAGGAAGATGGGCAGAACTTGAGAAGGCTTTATAAAGTAATAGAATACATCCCTTACCTTCTGGGAACAAAGGAGCAAAGCTGATGGGAGGCAACAGACATTCTCCTTCCCAAACCATGAAAGCAAAAACACGCTACACCCCTCACTCCAAGGAGTGGCTCCGACCTCTCCTGGAATCTCTGTGCAATAAAAGAAATTTTTTCTCTGTTTCCTTAGGTGATGGTGTTTCCTTAGTTACCAAGTACTATCAAGTTTGAGTTACCCAAATTGTCAGTTTCTCTTGATTCTTATTTCTCTAACTCAACTTTATGGAGGTAGAGTTATGGTGGTAAAATGCACCCATTTTCATTGCACATAGCCATGTGATTCACTCATAGAACCACCACCAGAATCAGTTTTGGATGATGTTCCTCTGTCTTATCTTCCCTATTCAAGTCCTCATCAGATTGGATGAAGTCTACCCACAGTGGGGAGGGCCATCTGCTTTACTGAACCACTGATCCAAATGTGAATCTCACCTGGAAATAATACCTTCACAGACACATGCAACATGGTGTTTACTCTGGCACCTCATGTCCCAGTCAAGTTGACACATAAAATTAACCATCGAATGAAGAAAAGAGGATAGGAAGGAAGAAAGGGAGGGAGGGAGGAGGAAGAGAGGGTAGGAAGGAGGAGGGAGGAAGAGAGAGGGGAAGGCAAGGAAGATATTTTGGACCACAGGTAGCTGTTACATTGCAAAAGATAGTCAGGGATAGTCTCTGAAAAGTGATGACATTGAACTGAGACCTGAATACCTTGAAGTTGCCAGCCATATGCAGGTCCAGGGACAGTGAGTTCCAGGTGGAGGGCAAAGCACATGCAAGACTGCGAGGCAGACAAGGCCATGGTGCCTTTGAGGAACAGAGGGAAGCCAGTATGGTCCAAACATGATGACCAAGGGCTTTCTGCTACTGGACAATTTACTCTTCACCTGTGTTAGTTTTCTCCTGCTGTGCAACAGATGATCACAAACTTAGCAGCTTGACACAGACCCGCTTGTTATAGTTTCTGTGGGTGTGGAGCACCCACAAGTTAGCTGGCTCCCTTGCTCGGGATCTCACAAGATTGCGATCCTGATGTCATCCAGGCTGCATTCGCATCTGGAGGTTCAATGAGAGAAGAATCCACGCCCAAGCTCGCTTAGGGTGTTGGCAGAATTCAGTTTCTTGAAGCTGTACTATTTATGTTGGCTTCTTCCTTCGTATCCGTTTGCTTTTGGAGAGCACTTCGTAGTTGGAAAATGCTTTTCCATTCTGAAGTTAACCACAAACATGCTCCTACTATTCTCAGCTAAGGATTCTGCCACTCAAATAGTTGTCCAAACCAAAATCCTGAAATGAAAGTCACCCTTGATTCCTCAACTCAATGGCAAGTCCTATGGGCTCCACATCCAAAATAAATCCCAAATCCAATAACTACTTTCCAGTTCACAGTCACCTCCACTGTCCAAGGCACCGTCGTCTCTGACCCAGCCAACTGCGATGCTGTTCTCACTGCTCTCACTAGTCCTTCCCAAACCCATTCTCCACTGAGCAGTCAGGGTGGTCTGTATACAATGAAAATAAGATCATGTCACTTCCTCCCTCAAAATCTTCCCAGGACTCTCATTGTTATTACAGCAAAATCCAAATTCCAATCCCTCCAGAATCTGGCCCTGCTTACTTTTCTGATTCTATATTCTGACCCTGTTTTCTGCTGCCTGTGGATCATGGGCAAATTCCCTAATCTTCCTGAGCCTCGGTTTCTTTGTCTGTAAATTGGGGGGTTTGGAGTTGTGATTGATCTATGTGAAGCAGTCCTCCTTGCTTCTCCCTATGTCTCCCTCTAGTGATGAAAAATTGTAGCCCAGTTCATTTTCTCCCCTCTCTGATTTATCTTTTACTCTCTTCAACAACCATTTTTGATTCCTAATCATATGCTGCATCTTATTATTCCTCAATTACTTTGTATGCATGAGTCATGACCTCCCAAGGAGGCTGAGGACAGACAGCCATATTTTTATACTTTTGGGGTTCCCCCCAAAGGATTTAGGTCAGTCCAGGGCACCCAGCAAGCGTACAGTAAACCAGTAAAACCTGCCAAATTAAATTTACGATCCATCATCATCAGAGTAACTTGAAACTGCCTATACTCAATGAACTGTCATTTAACTGGAGTTTCTCGTAAAAGGGCCCCCTTTCTACTAATATCCATTTTCAAGTTTAAAAAAAAAGTACTGACTACAAAGCCCTTTGCTTTTAAAAAGAAACCTTTTCATGCACGTCACGTTTACATTTGAAACACAACTTCCTAAGCAAGGGGAGAGAGAGAGAGAGAGAGAGAGAGAGAGAGAGAGAGAGAGAGAGAGAGAGAGAGAGGAATAAGAAAGGAAAAATGAAGCATCCTCAATTGCACAATTCAGGTATTGTTCCCTATCTCTAAAGCCCAGACATACTGAGCCTAAGTCACCCCTTTCCTTTCTCAAATGCCTATCCATTTTTGCATCCAAGAATTAAGATTTTTAAAGGTTAACTTTTAAAAGAAATGAATCCCAAATCTGCATGTGAACTGTAAGGTTCTCATTTCAAGTGGATACAGGTTAGAATATGTTTGACCGTAAAAGCATAAAGGCTAGAATAAAGTGCCATGAAGAATCTATTGGAAGAAATGGGATCAGATAGATGTGGTGCACTTCTCCTAAGTGCATACCACTTAACTGCATAATCAGCTGGTGCTCCCAAGAATTATGCAGTCTCTGTCTGGCCCCCATTAGATTGAATGTGTTGCTACTCCAGTTAATTGCATATCTGCAAATTGCATAATTCAGCTCTATGCACCCTGCACCGAGTTCCGAATGCCATCCGGTACAATGTAATCAAACTCGGGAAGTGAAGAGCTGGAATACTTATGAGATCCTGCCCATTTGTCACACTTGGTTTGGAGAGTCGGTGCGGGAAAGTAGGCAGCCCATTGGTCACAGGCCTGTGGGCTTTGGATTCCTGTCCACCCTCTCCCCTTCCACAACACAACCTCATGTCTCCAACCAAAAATTAATTTTAAATAGGTCCAAAAGAAAACATACATTAAATTAGGTCATTACAAATATGATTAATACCATTGAACTATAGTGTGCCCCCCCAAAACAGGATGTCGGCATGGGAAATTTTTATTAAAAAATAAGAAATATCACTCCTAACAATGGTGCTCTCCTTCCCAGGACTGACATTATTTGTGCAGCAGAGCAGAAAACCAGGGACTAGGCTTCCTGCTGCCATGAACTAGCTGGGCAAGCCTCTTCACCTCTCCCGGCCTTAGTGCTCTCTTCTGTACAATGGGAAAAGTAGTTCTAACCTTGTCTACGTCGCTGAGCTGCTATGGGGGTGAAATGCAACCCTGCTTGGTTACCTACAAGGTAAGGTTGAAATCGATTGCCAGATACACCAGATGAGGCTAATGGGCTCTGAGTCAAAGAACAGGGAGAATCTGGGGAGCTGGTAGAAACACTTCAGTAAGGAGCCGGGGCAGCAGAAAGTAGTAAAATAGAAATGAGAAGAAAGAAATGCTACTGACTTCATGGCAAACCCTGCAAGGACCAGGTGTTGTCCTTGGTTTCAGTTCAGTTCTTACTCTGCAAAGATTCAATGCTCTTTCATACACACACACACACACACACACACACACACACACACACACACACGTCATGCAATGAGATCCTCATTTGCAGAAATAGCAGCATAATAAGTAATAAGTTCAGCTGTAAAGAAAAAAGTACCCCATCACCCAATGCTCCAAGCTATCCAAACATCAGAAGGAAGGATTTGACATGCAGGTGCCTGCCTGTTGGAATCCAGAGGAAATGCTCATATGCCAACTCGCACAGTTGGAGCGCAGCCCAAAGACTTCAAAGGTCTCACTTTGCTCTTTGCAGATTTCCTCCCACAGGTGTTTTACCCTCAATGTGTATCTGTTAAGACAATGAGCGCTATATCTTAGATACCTGAGTCATCTGGAGGAGTCTTTAAGTCAATAGTTGCCAAACTGTAGAATAGCTGGCTGCTCACTTACTGAAGTGGTTAATCCAGCTCAGCCTTTTACTAGTTATATAATCCCTGGAAAGGTACTGAATCTCATTAAGTCTGGCTTTCCTTTCCACAAAACTGGGCCAATAACAGTACCTACCTTTTAGGGCTTTGGGAAGGTTAAATGAGATCACATATGCCAAGCAAGAGGCATAATGCTCAGTGTGCTACACTTGACTAGCCCAGAGTTCATGTACAACCCAAGATAAGATCATGTGAATCATGTGTCAACATTTTGACAGAATTCTGAAATGACACATACTTCAACAAAAATGTGGGGGGAGGGGGTTAGGCAATTTAATCTGCATGTTTGTTTCACTCAGATGACTAATAAAGTACCTTTGCTTTGGAATAAGGGCATAATGGCATAAAGTTAAATGTGAGCACAAATCATTCTAGAAATTTACCTAGGGAAAGAGGTACTTCCACTCTGACCAATGTTATCAGGTGCAGCCACATGTCAGAGTGTGAAAGGGCAATGACAGTGTGCCTGTGAGGAGCTTGTATTGAGAAGGAACTTAAATGTTGGTTGAATTGAATTAAAGGCAGAAATCCAATTGATTAGTCGTCCCAATTTGGGAGAGTCTACTATTTTTCAAGAGATGGATCAAAAACTGAACAAACATTTTAAGTCTAATATTCAAATCCTTCTAAAATCTGTCTCTTTCAATTATCACTATACCCCTAGCAGCTAATGCAGTGCCTTGTAAATATGTGCTCAATAAATAATGGTTGAATACGTTAATTAATTCATTAATTAATGATCCCAACCTTTGTTACTAGCTTTTATCTTCCACTATTTTCCAGCATGAGCCCTTTACTCTCCCCAGGCCAATCTATGGTTTCCTACGCACTATCTTATTTATTTCTACCTCCAAAACTTTGTTCACAAGCCTTCCCCATATTCCATGTTCACTCCTTTTTCTCTTATGCAAATTTGTTCCAATTTTTGAGGTGCGATGTTTTGAACTGTGTCAAGTTGGCTAATCTGGAATGACATTTTCCAGGGTCGCATCAGGTTTGAGTTGACACGAGAGTTCTGGGAGTTTGAAGTCCCGATTAGATGAGAGACAAAAAACAAAACACAGAGGCTCTGGCAGATTCAAACTTGTTCTCACTCACCCCTGCTCTGTGACCAGCCCTTCTTCCCCATTGCTGGTCCTGATGACCAACTCCCCAGCCCACCACCAGATGCAGAGTCAACAATCTTCCATGGGCTGCTCCATCAGTTCCCATTGGGAACAGGAGCTAGATACACCTGGCTTTCCAGATTTCCCTTGCAAATTTGTATTCATCTACCAGTGCCAGTATTTCAGGAGGGCTAGTTAGTGATTATATTTTTGATCCTTCAGCTCTCCTTGCTAGATCTTACTTTCCCAGGTCCTCTCACAATTATGTAACATCTAATTGCTATAACAAATTCCCTAACACCCATAATGGTCTGCTTCTCTGATGAAACAAGGCTCATTTCATATAACAGCTGTTTCTTAGTGACTTCTTAACCACTGCTGAGCAACTTCTGTGCATTTCTCTGGTACGATGTGTTTGCATATTTCCTTGTATTGTTGCATTTATGCTCACATATGCCTTCACAGTGCTTAGAACATGGTTGGTATTCAGTAGGAGTTTAATGAGTAAATGAAAGTTTACATGGCATGTGTCACCAGTCTCCTCTCTCACACTTATAGCAGACATTATTCATTGATGTCATATGCTTTCCCATCATGCTTGAGCTTGGCTTTATAATCCTTCTCGACATAGTGCTATAGATAGACAATGGGAGCTGGCATGGAAGAAGAAACCTTCTGCCATACTGAAATCCTCTGAGTATAATGACTTACACCTCTTAGGCAAATTAAATAAGCCTAAAAGATTCCAGTGCATGCACATACTGAAGCTCAGTGGATGTCAATTCCTTTCCTGCCCGACTGCACCTATTGTTCACACAGTAGGTACCCAATAAATATTTGTTGAATGAGACAATGTCAGTGTAACCTTCACAAAATGACCTGTGTGATCTCTGCAATCTAAAGTGACTCAAAGCCCTAACTGGTTTGGCTCAGTGGATAGAGCATCGGCCTGTAGACTGAAGGGTCCCAGGTTCGATTCCTGTCAAGGGAATGCACCTTGGTTGCAGGCACATCCCCAGTGGGAGTTGTGCAGGAGGCAGCTGATCCATGTTTCTTTCTCATCGATGTCTCTACTTCTTTGTCCCTCTCCCTTCCTCTCTGTAAAAAATCAATAAAATATATTTTTTTAAAAATAGACTCACAAAGTTCTCACCATTTAAAATAATGAATAAACAAAAGGACAACTGGAGTGAACTTCCTGCATTTTATGAAGGCCACTCTGGCCATTTATGGTCCTTTCAGTGATAAAGAAGACAAGGTACAAACAAGCCCAGGTCCCAGTCAACAGTAAAATGTGACATGTGGCGAACTACTTTGAAAGAAGACAAACCTTTCTAGCTTCTGTCCCTCTGGTGTTTCTAGCCCACCTGCTGGCAGTCATAGAGGAGGAAGCCTCTAGAGGAGGAGAAAAGTTTGGAAGGGAAGTTTTGGTTCAAAGGAGTCAGATAGAATAATTATGAGATAGGAAATATGGGCTCGAGAGAGGAATATTTTATTCATTTCTGAAAAGGGAATAGAAATAAAGACATGATTGGCTTGACACTTGGAAATGTTATATTTGATTTGGTTTTTTCCCCTGAATTTTGCCTTGCCAGCCACATCTCTAAGAAATCTGGCAGGCACGTCCTAATCCTGTGTTCATTCTTCTGTTTTCATTCCTGTGACTAGGATGTGATGATGCCCCTGATGATCCTGGCAATCAATCATTGAAAGCATGACTGTGAAAGAACAAAAAATCCTGTGTTTCTAAAGGGTAAAAAGGTACATGAACTAAGCTCATTCTATTGGTCAGATAATGCCCAGAGAAAACCTTTTTCCCTAATCCTTGAAACCTTAGTCCTAAACAGAAAATAAAAGGCAATATTGCCCTTTCATATTCTCTTTCTCACTTGAAAATTGGGTGTCTGGTTTCTGGTGGTTTCTTATTAGGAGAGCAGTTTCAAGAATACCTCAACTTAACTGACATGTGTTCACACATTCAAGTCTAAGGCATATATAGCCTAACACGTGCTGTGCTGCATCCGTTTTCTACTTCTCTGTCAGTCAAAATGGCACTATGGTTGGGTAACTTTTAAATGTGAGATAATCTCATTTCCCTCCATATTTTAGGAAGTACTATCATAAGATAGATCCACTGTCAACAATGTTTCTCTACTAGACTAATAATAATTTTTAATTTGTGTTTGCAACCCCAGGAACTAAAACAAGGCCTAGAATAGAGTAGATGATGAGTAAATATTTGTTGAATGAATGAGTTTTTACTCTATTGTTGTGGTAGGCAAAATAAATCCCCCACCCCTGCTCAAGATGTCTACATCGTAATTCCCAGAACCTTTGAGTATATTACTTTACATAGCAAAGGGACTTTCCAATGTGATTAAATTAAGAATCTTGGGATAGGGAGATTTATGTGGATTCTCTGGGTAGGCCCAAGGTAATCACAGGGTCCTTATAAGTGAAAGAGGGAGGTGGGAGGACAGAGAGTCAGAATCAGAGAAGAAGATAGACATCAAGGTTGGAGTGATGCAGGGCCACGAGCCAAGAAATATGAGGAAACTCTACAAGCTGGGAAAGGCAAGGAGATAAGTTCTCCCATAGAGCCTCCAAAAAAGCACAGTCTTACAGACCCTTTTATTTTAGCCCATTTCTGTTTTCCAGAACTGTAAGATAATAAATGTGTATCATTTTAAGCCAGAAGTTTGTGGTAATTTGTCACATACCAATAGAAGACTAATACATTAACATTAATAAGCCACATAACAAGTCTTTTTTATTGAGATACTAGAAGCCCGTTGCATGAAGATTTGCACAATAGGCCTTCCTTCCCCTGGCTGCTGGCACCAGTTTTCCTCTGGCACCCGGGACCCAGGCCTTTGGTCCGGCCACAGTAGAGAAGCCAAGCCTCTTCAGTCTTCAGTCTTCAGTCTTCAGTCCTCACTCCAGCCGGAGCCTTCAGTCTTCACTCTGTACCTGTGTATGCAAATTAACCACCATCTTTGTTGGGTTATTTGCATAGTTACTCTGATTGGCTGGTGGGCGTAGCAGAGTGACACCAATTTGCATGTTTCTCTTTTATTAGTGTAGATAACTGACATAACAATGTATCATTTAATGGATAATAATTATAATGATAGGCAGTATTTATTGAGCACTTAGGGAGAAACACAGTACAAAATGCTTTATGGACGAATCTCATTAATTCTCAGAACCATATTGTAAGATAGGTATTATTATTACTCTCAACTTACAGCTAAGGAAACTGAGGCCTAGAAAAGTTGTGTTACTTGATCAAGACCACATAGTTAGCAAGTGGCAGAACAAGGATTTGAACTCGGGCAATCTGAGTCCATATCCTACTATCTTCCATGCTAGTGCTAAGAAGTATGGAAAATAATAGAAAACTATAAGACACAGTCCTGGCCTTCAAGGAACTCACAAATATCATGAGAAAGATCACTCCAACATATATGCTATATTAGAGAGAATATATCACAGATCTGAAATGATCTATGACCTACATTTAACAAAGGATAGAGGGCCAGAAAGCTGGAATATTTGGGATTGGCTAAAGCTGGACCTTGAAGGGTCCTTGACCATGAACAGGCAGTGGGTGTAGAGGAGCTGACGTCCAGGCCGGAGTAGTGGAATGAGAGAAGGAACCACGGTGCCAGTGAGCATGAAAATGGGGAAAGAAAATTAAAAGCTTGGGGGTTGGGGGCATCTGAGAAAGAAAAATGAGAAGATAAAATACTTAATTGTTTTTATGGGAATGGTAACATTTATTGAGCACCTATTCCACCATAAAGGGAACATTCACATTTGTTATTTCATTTAATTTCCATAACCCCCCTGCTAAATGAGTATTATTAGCCTCATTTTTACAAAAGAGGAAATTAAACATCCAGAGAGATTAAGCAAGTGCCGAAAGGCATGTACCCAGCTAATTGTGATTCCAAAATTCATGCTCTGTCCTCCGGTTCTTCTTTCCCCGCAATATTCTCAGCCCTTCTCTGAGAAGGAGGAAATGTCCATTAAGTAAGAATGATAGGCAGAGCTGTCTAAAACAAAACAAAACAAACAAACAAAAACAGAAGGAGCTGCTTCGGAAGGTGGCAAGTTAAAGGCAATCAGGCCAAGGCTAGTTCCAGCCAGCCAACTGCTCATGACCATTTATTGACAAGCCCTGTGCTAAGCCTGGCAATAGGGAGATCACAGCAAAACAACACACATCTGCCCCGCCTGCCCTTATGGCGCCAACTGGTAAGTGAGGGAGATGGATGAGTGAAAAATCCTTTCCACACGAACCTCAGGTTAGTGTTTACCTTCAGGGATGGAAGGTGGAGAAAGGTTTGGGGCAGGCGGGCAATAGTTATGTCATACCTTTTACTTCCCAAGAGAGGAGAGAGAAATCCGAAACAAATATGGAAAATCACTAACATATTCCATCTCAATGCGGAGTATCCAGATGCCTCTTACCCTACTTTTCTTCATTTTAGTTTGTAATGTATGACAGGAAGGCCAAAACCAATGAACTTAAATCATAGTCGTATTGTTTTCAAAAGAGGTCATCACAATCATCATCATCAGTGCCACGCTCAGGGAAGCGTTGGGTACGACAGAAGGACAGAGAGAGACACCTAACCCAGTTTAAAAAGAAACTGGAAAAGGCGAGGAAGTGGATTCTCCCCTAGAGCCTCCAGTCGACACTCCCTGCAGATACTTTCACTTTAGTGAGACCTGATTGGACTTCTGTCTTTCAGCCGTGGCCTCAACAAGCTGTAGAAGGTACTGAGGAGAGGTGACCAGAGTGATTCAGAGCAGGAGCAGCAGTTAGCAAACCTCTCAGAATAAGGAGGATCAGGGCATATTCCTATCATCTCAAGGGGTCATCTCAGAAGTCCTGACTGTGACGGGAAAGTGGAGGTGATCAGTAGTGGCAGGGACTCAATCAAGATAAGCCTTTTAGGCCAGGAAAAGGGGTTTGGATTTATCTTAAATGAAGTAGAGAGCTTCCGGAGAGTTTTAAGCAGGATGGAGATGATCAGATTTGCTTTTCAGAAAGATTTTTCTGGTGGAGGCAGGAAAGGTGAAATGAGAGGAAAGTGGGACTGGGCCAGGTAGACAGGCAGGAGTTTAGTCACAGAATAGGAGAACTTCAGGGGCCTGAAATAACAGGGGGCAGTGAGGATGGAGTAATGATTTCAGTGTTTATGAGGTAGAATTTAAAAGCTTGGTGATCCATTGACTGTAGGGTGAAGATAGCATTAAAGATGACTTCTGTATTTCTTTCTTAGTGGATGTATTATTATTTCCTGCCATGAGGAACAAAGGAGAAATAAGTTTGGTTTTTTTTAAATATGTTTTTGTTGGTTACAGAGAGGAAGGAAGAAGGAGAGAGATAGAAACATCAATGATGAGAGAATCATCGATCCGCTGCCTCCTGCACACTCCCTACTGGGATGGAGCCTGCAACCTGGACATGTGCCCTGACCGGGAATCAAAATGTCACCTCCTGGTTCACAGGTCAATGCTTAACCACTGAGCCACACCAGCCGGGAAAGAAATAAGTTTTAAAATAAGGGTGAGTTTTCTAAAAATGGTGCTGGTACAAGTGGACAGCTACATGCAAATGAATCTTGACACAAACCTTACCCCCTTCATAAAAATTAACTCAAAATGGATCACAGCGCTCAATGTGAAATAGAAAACTATAAACTCCTAAAAGATAACATAGGAGAAAATCTAGATGACCTTGGATTTGGCAATGATTTGTTAGATACAACACCAAAAGCACAATCCATGAAAGAAATAATTGATAAGCTGGACTTCATTAAAATTAAAAAATTCTGCTCTGTGAAAGACACTTTCAAGATGAGAAGATAAGCCACAGACTGGGAGAAAATGTTTGCATGAGGCACATTTGATAAAGGATCATTATCCAAAATACACAAAGCGCCCTTAAAACTCAACAAAAAGAAAATAACCCAATTTAAAAATGGGCCAAAGATCTTAGCAGACACCTCACCAAAGAAGATATACAGATGGCAAATAACCACAAAAAAGATGTCCTACATCATGTCATCAGGCTAATTCACATTCCTGTTAGCCCCTTCTACTGGGAATATCTTTAGAGCACTGTTATGTTTCAGGCACCGAAAGGATAGTGAGGGGTAATTCGGAGGTGGGCAAAAGTAGGTTTACAGTTGCATTGTGACATTCTTCTGAGTGAATAAAACTATACTAATAATCATAACCTGCATGTCTTTTTCCATACGACCAACTGTGAACCTACGTTTGTCCACCCCTGTATAAATTTAGCTCATGACTGAAAATTCCAAACACTGCACACTTTCTGAAGTGTTCTGGTAAAACAATGTTTTTCTTTGGCATAAGCAATCCAGATAGCTCTAACCCTAATCATTTTTCAAGTTTTAATCTCCACATGCTTGGCATATTCTGATAACACTGACAGGTTAAAAGCAACATTCTGTTGTGTGCACAGTGATTGCTGCAATTAGCCTTAATTTAGACTGAAAGTAGACTGATCAGCTGCCTCACAGCAACATTTCTAAATTTATTAGATAAATACCTCCAGAGAACTTATATTAAAAAGCAACAAAAATGCCTGGGGGTGGGGGTAGATAGAGGGGGTCAATGAGGGGAAAAGTGGGGGTCATGTGTAATACTTTCAACAATAAATATACATTTAAAAATAAATAAAAAGCAACAAAAACAAAATCTGCAGCATAGCAGCCTCCCCTTACATTAGGAGACTCTGAAAGCAGTGAAGATGCTGGTAAGATTTCCTTCAGGAAAGAGACAATTTTGGCCTTTATTACACAGTAGCTACAGTTAACGAAAATGATACTGGAGATAAGAGAATGTGGGTGAACAATGTCCAGAGAATACATCTCCCCATCCCTCTGTAAAAGAACTTTTGAGTCTACTGGTATTTTACTCAAATTATAACCACACTATAACCCAAATTCCAGAAGCACTTCCCCAGTGCCTAATGCCATCATTCCATTCCTTTAAAATATGCCCAATAAATGGTGACAATTATGTATGTCATCTTAATTTTTCAATGTTGCCTGATTGATATTATCATCCCTATTTATATAAAGACAGAGTGGCTCAGAATGGTTATGTGCTCAGTCACAAGCCCAGCTGGCGTTGCTCAGTGGTTGAGTGTCGACCTATGAACCAGGAGGTCATGGTTCAATTCCAGGTCAGGGCACATGCCCAGGTAACGGGCTCAATCCCCATTGTGGGATGTGCAGAAGGCAGCTGATCAATGATTCTCTCTCATCTTTGATGTTTCTATCTCTCTCCCTCTCCCTTGCTCTCTGAAATCAATTTAAAAAAATAAAAACAGGTAACAAAGTAAGATACAAACTCAGGCCTCATTCCACAGTCTATGCCTTTTCCATCGGAATGTGCTGCTTGATGTTAAAGCTTTGATATCCTGTGTTGGATCTGCTTTTTTCTTTTAAATGTCAGGATCAAATGAGAAATCAGAGTAAGTGTATCATGAGGAGCGAGTAGGGAAGAAGAGAACATGATCTCCTTGAGTTCTTTGTTCTAACTTACCCATACTATTATTTATTGTTTCAAATTCTTGCATGCAAATAATGTGTGTCTATTGTGGGGAAAATTACAAAATGCACATAAGCCAAAAGAAAAACTGAATAAAAATCACTTGCACTCTTCTCATAAGCAGCCTGAGTGACCTCTGAAAACGGTTCGCTATTCACTTGACCCAGCAAACCCCACAAAATCATGCAGATCAAGAGGCTCAAATCTTTGTGTTCCCTTTAAGGACACTCGTAAAATGGCCCAGGCCTTCAAGGGTATGCATATCTGAAAAGCAACCAAGTATCTGAAGGGTATCTGTCATTTTACGGAAGCAATGGGTGCCATTCCAGCGTTCCAAGAGTGTGTTGGTAGGTGTGTCCAGGCCAAACAGTGGGCCAGTGACCGGAAAGAGTGCTAAATTTTTGCTGCACAGGATTAAAAATGGCGAGAATGCTGAATTTCAAGGTTTAGATGTAGATTATCTGATCCTCGAGCACATCCAGGTGAACAAGGCTCCCAAGATGCAGCACAGAACTTACAGAGCTCATGCGTGGGTTAACCCTTACATGCGATGGTCCTTACTGAGAAAGAGCAGATGGTTCCTAAGCCAGAAGAGGAAGTTGCACAGAAGAAAAGGATATCCCAGAAGAAACAAGAACTTATGGCCGGGGAATAAATTCAACATAAAAAAAATGTTAATAATAAAAAAAAAATCACCCACAATCCCACCACCTGCAGGTGTCTCGAGCTTCATTTGACCTCAGCAAGCCTAAGCAGTGTGACAGCATGGTGCAACCTAACATCTCTCCCACTATCACACAAACACAATCAGACTTTTGGTCCAGAAAGTGCTGCAAATGACAGATGAGATGGTGGCAGCAAAGAGATATTTGGGTTTTTGACAATAATCATGCTCTAGCATAGTCTCATTTTAATATTCATAAAACATTTTAGCATTTGCATGATGTAAAATTAAATTTTAAAAAACAAATTTTTATTTTTTAACCACCAAACTACCTGTTAAGCAAAAAGACTCAGTATAGACAGATAATTCCATCTTTACTGAAAACACTAAACAACATATTAAGAAAAGTCTCTTATTATACAACCACTAGATGCCCGATGCACAAAATTCGTGCAAGAGTAGGCCTTTGTAGCCTCGGCAGCTGCCTGGATCCCTCCCTTGTAGCCACAGCGGCTGCAGCCCTGGCTTCATCTAGAACAGCGGTTCTCAACCTGTGGGTTGTTTTGTGATTAATCACTATGCTTTAATTACGTTCAATTTGTAGCAATGAAAATACATCCTGCATATCAGATATTTGCATTATGATTCATAACAGTAGCAAAATTACAGTTATGAAGTAGCAATGAAAATAATTTTATGGTTGGGGGTCACCACAACATGTATTAAAGGGTTGTGGCATTAGGAAGGTTGAGAACCACTGGGCTAGAAGGACATCTGGTCTAATTAGCATATTATGCTTTTATTATTATAGAAGATTAGTAGTATATTGTGTAGAATTCAATGGTTGTAACCATCATATTGGAGGCAAAATAGCAGTTAGACCTGGGGTTAAATCCTAGCTTCACCACTTATTTCATGACCTTGGGTAAGTCATTCAATCATTATGGGACTAAATGTATTTACCTGTAAAGTGGGGATAATGATATGACTCTTCAGGGAGACTATAGAAATGTTGTGAGGATTAAATAATTTAAGAATATGAGTTTTGCCTGACCGGTTTGGCTCAGTGGATAGAGCATCAGCCTGCGGACTGAGGGGTCCTGGGTTCGATTCCGGTCAAGGGCATGTACCTTGGTTGTGGGCACATCCCCAGTGGGGGGTGTTCAGGAGACAGCTGATCGATGTTTCTCTCTCATTGATGTTTCTAACTCTCTATCCCTCTCCCTTCCTCTCTGTAAAATATCAATAAAATATATTTTTAAAAAAATATGAGTTTAGTGAAACACCTTGCACATGGGGGGCAATAAAAGAAATTCTTAGTAAGCTAAAATCTTAAAGATTTAAAACTTCTCCTTAATATTTCTTACATATTTTCTTGAAAATATTTTCTAGGAAAGTAACATTCCTCCTCCATCAGACAATGACTAGCTTTGAAGGCATTGATACCTTAAGAATTAAAATACTGGGCTCTAGTTAAGAAGATATAGGAATGAGTAACTCTTGCCATGCTGATTAACCCTAACACGTGCATTATTCTAGGACTCAATTGGGTACTCAATGCTGTTCAAAATTTTTATTCATTCATACTTAGCAACTTTTCTCATTTTCCAAATTGACCCAACTCCCTCGCCACAAGGAAGAAAAAAGACCATTATGTGATCTTCCTACTTACTCCTTAAAACTCTTCTCTCTTCTCTTAAAGCTTTCTGGAGGGCAGTTAGTGCTTTGGTCAGCTATTGTGCCAAACGAACAGATTTCTTATCATTCCAATCCTCAGCACCAGCACCCTTTTGCCAAGTCTCCTTCTCTAACTCCTGGGAGCAGCAGTCAGCAGGATAGAGCTGTGTCCTGACTGCAGAGCAAGAGGTAGTTGCAGGCCACTGAACAAGGTACCTGAGAGCTGACTGAGGTTTTGTTTGAACGTGGGTTTAGGCTACTTGATTTCATTCTCTCTGTTATCTTGGTTAACTGAGACTGTACGTATGTATCAAAACCTTCAATATGTGATCACTTTTGACTAAGAATGGACAATTCTAGAGAAAAAAATCAGATATACATGTTATTTATTGGAATTACTTAAATAGCAATAAGGAATTACATAAATAAATTATAATACCGACATGGAATATTCTGCAGGCATTAAAAATGATTTTGTAAAAAATCTTTATTGAAATAGAAAAATCTTTACAATGTGAAGACACAGGCTACGAAACAGTATGTATAATGTGTAATTTCTGTGAAAAATGAACATACATGCATGAAAAAGGTACTAAGACACACATAAAAATATTAATGTTACCATTGAGCTGTGAAATGAGTTTTCCTTTGTACATTTTGGTGTTTTCCCAAAATTTCTGCAGTAAGCTTGAATTTTGTACATAGAAAAAATGCAAAATGGATGCTGATTTAATGAGAGAAAGGAAGAGGGAAGGTGCCAGAACCCTGGGGAGTATCTACATTGAAGGTGTTTGAGGAAGAGAACATCTTAGACTTGTGCTTTTTAAGAACTAATTTTCCTTCTTACCAGTTTCTTGCTATTAGATCTACATTAGCTTCCTAACTGCCTATCTGTCTTATAATACTTAGCCTTAAGCATCTAGGTTGAAATAAGAAAAAAAGACACAGAATTTTTTTGTACAAAACAAAAGCATACCCCAAACAAACATTCTGTAAAGTCCCAGTGGCCCGAGGAACAAAAGTTGGCATGCACAGAGCAGATTCTGAAGTCTGAAAGTGGTCCTTCCGTTTAATACAGTGTAGTAGGAACTCTTCCTGGGTAAAGAGGGACTTCTGGAAATTGTATTAGCATTTATAAATGGGTCTATAGAAATACTGTTCCTATAGAATTGAAATAATCCATTCCATCCCACCCTAGAGGGTTTAGGAGTAAAGACTGAGCTAATCCATCTCATATTTGGCCACTGTTTTAAAAGCAGGGTTATTATATAAAACATCTCATACAGAGGCCTTCACATATAATTTATACTCTCACACACTAATAGCCAAAAACAATAATGTTCCATGAAAGTAAAAACAAACAAACTGTATTCACATGCATTAAATTCATTCACATAAAAAAACTGAAAAGAAAAAAAAAACATGTTAAAGAATTATATATAATATCTTAATCAATAAAAAATATATTAAAAAAAAAAAAGAATTATATATAGCTCTAGCCAGTTTTCTCAATGGTTGGAGCATCAGCCCATGGATTTAAGGGTCCCGGGTTTGATTCTGGTCAAGGGCGTGTACCTTGGTTGCAGGCTGAAGTGCTCTTGTCATGTAAATTTAGGATATTACAGTGAAAATAAAGTTTAAACTTTTAAGAGTGTATTGTGAAAAAACTGTATTTCGAGATTGTATCAATGACCCAGAATACTACGGCTTACTTCACTAAATATTTTGAGAAACCTGCTTTAAAATGAGACTTCTCACCTGGCCACGTTAATAACTGTAACAATTATACAAGAATCGATACTACTTTTCAAGACTTGACTGCAAGTATTTCTTATATAATTGAACTTACATGGCTATGAAAAGTTAATGGACTTTTCAAATCTGGGCTTAGGTGATCCTGAAGGAACTTCAAAGCACTGTTTGCAACCAAAAGAATCTAGGAAATACTAGCAAACAGGCTCTACCAGCTAGTTTAACTGTAGCCAAAATATGATCACTATGAAGAAGCGGATCCCAATGAAATATAAGCTCTTTAAGGGCAGAGATGCTTGTGTTTTGCTCCTTGCTGCATCGTAGCATCTAGGACAGTGCCTCCCAAATGGTAGACACCCAGTATTTTCATTAATTAATGAATAAGAGACCATTCCTGATATATATTAGGAGTAACCCAAATTTGCTTTATGTATCAATACTGAATATCCTACCAATTGGAGAATCTGTTACTGAATGATAACATGTTATGAAGCTAACTGGACTATACAATATACTTTTGAGTAAAAGGGGTGATAAAAAATGTTGGTTTCACTTTTGAGAAGTCCGGCTTCAATAATTCTGAAATTGCTCTGCCTGTTTCTAAAGAAAGCACGTAACAGGATTATGGGGACATAACATTTCATGTATTTCCAGCTTCTTAAACACAGTAAGAAAAACCAGTGCTAACATGCAGGTGCTGCTTCCTTCAGTCGCTGTGCATCACTTCAGGCGCTTGTCCAGCAGCTGCCTGGCAGTGCTAACAGATGGGAAACATTAATCTTCTGTTCAGTGTTCCCACCTTGTCCATCCAACTTCAAATGTAACTGCACTGAGCTAGATGAGTCAGCATCTGGTCTTTCAAAAGCTAGTGCAGCACTCCCACAAGCAAAAAGGAGAAAGTTCACACTTCAGAGGCCTGAACCAATGCCAGAAGTTCCCATGTTGCCTCAAGGTTTCAGACTCCCTGATGATCTTCAGCTCCTTGGATACCAAGGCAAAGACAGATCTGAAAAGCTACAGAAAACCAGGCGGGTTGTCATACACTAGACTGCACCCCAGGCAATATAAATGGTATTTGTTCACACCACGGATTAACTACTTTGAAGGATCAAAATGCAGAAGACAGCTACTTTCAACATTTAAGGTTTCTTAATAAAGCACTAAAAAATGTGAGTAAGTCATACTTTTATTTTTCAGAAGCAAAAATGACAAGTGGCAACTTGTCTTTGGAAAAGACATTACAGGATATCGGGTAATAAGCTATCTATCTCATAGAGACAGTAGCCTAGGAAAGACTATTATTATACATACAGCTCTCAAAGAAAGTCCTATTAAATAAATCTCAGGATAAAATGCTTTCAACTAAAACAACAAAACAAAAGTATCATCAACAACAAAAAGTTACAAAGAGTCTGTAAAGTGTTATGTGAAGAAGGAAAAAGAAAATCTGGAAATCCACATACTGGAAGTTCACTATTAAAATTAATCAGGCACGAAACCTAAAACAGAAAAAATAAATACATTAAAGCACACCATTTTTTAAGAATCCAATGAGGTTACTGTAGATGCACATTGCAATGCTTCATTTACCTAAGACATTTTTTCTTACTTTTGGAGCCCTTTTGTATACATTATAGAGAGATTATATGAATGACAATGCAGAGATCTGCCTTCTCAACAGGCCTTTAGAGTTTTAAATTTTAAATTTGAGTCTGGAATCTCAATTAAATGTCTCTATAATAGGCTACAGAGAATGGAATTGCTTTTTTAAATTACATTTGCTTAGGCCCTGGCCTTGTAGCTCAGTTGGCATATAGGTCCCAATATACCAAGGTTGTAGGTTCAATCCCTGGTCAGAGCACATGCAAGAATCAACCAATGAATGCATAAATAAGTGGAACAGCAAATCCATCTCCACCTCTCTCTCTTTCTAAAAATCAATTAAGAAATTTAAATTACATTTACTCAATTTTTACACATTATGGTTTAAGAACAATCTACATACTTTTATTTTTCTAATATATTTTTATTGATTTCAGAGAGGAAGAGAGAGGGAGAGATAGAAACATCAATGATGACAAAAAAATCATTGACTGGCTGCTTCCTGCATGCCCACTACTGGGGATTGAGCCAGCAACCTGGGCATGTGCCCTGATTTGGAATTGAATCGTGACCTCCTGGTTCATAGGTCGACACTCAACCACTGAGCCACATTGGCGGGGCCAATCTCATACTTTTAAATGGGATACAATTTACAGTATGAAAATGGGTTATGTGAAACTATTCAACCCTTCTCATAAAGAATAATAATTTGCAAAATGAATAAGCTTAATACAAAATTATATAGTTGTTGGGGTTGGGTTGGAGTGGGAAGGGACATGGAGAACAACCAGTGGAACTCACAGAGTTCTAGATGTGAGATTCAGTTTCACACCGACTACACTGATTATCTTAGTCTCAATTTGTTCCCTGGTCAGAAGAGGCAGATGGATCTCTAAGCTTCATTTCAATTATTTATTTTATTTCAATTTTAAACCAAAAAATTCTTACAGTTTATTTTAAAAAAAGATTTCAAAACTTTTTTGACAATCAGTTGAATAAATTCCTCAGATCTAAACAGGGTCAATCACTGTCCAAACTTATGACAATATCTATAAAGCATATTCCATAATTTTACTAAGAGAAAAAAAAACCTACCTTAAAGGCAAAATTATACTTCATATCCTATTTATACACTACAACATAGAAAATAAGTGCAGATTCCCTTCCTGGCTTATAGAAGCACTCTGTGAGATAGAGTCAACTGAAAACCTTAGGACTATGACCGTGGCCAAAACATCTAGCCTGTCTCTCTCTGCCCTGTCTCTGAAAGCTGCAGACAGTTCCAAATGAACAGTCACCTACGACGTATCCACACTCCCCACGCTGCATAGGACTTCTCCATTACAGAGAATGATTATACCAGGAAACTGTTTTCCTGAGAAAAATCTAGCATTACTGGAAGATTACTTATTAGACTAGACTAATGTACAGTCACGGAAATAAAAACCTTATAGTAGCCGAGAGAACCAGTGTTAAATCAGGAAAACTAATGGTACCTCTGACTTCTCTAAGTGTATTACCTATTTAAAGCTGATAGCAATTAACAATCTTCATGGGCAGAGCTAAACTTTAGGTTAGAGTAAATACTTATAGTAGTTCAGGGTTGAGGTCTATCACCTTTTCATGTTTAGGGAAGAAGAAAAGAAAAAGGTTTAAAGATCATATGGGCCCTGGCCAGGTAGCTCAGTTGATTTGAGCATCGTCCTGATATGCCAATGTTGCATGCAGGTCAATCCCCAGTCAGGTCACATAAAAGAAGCAACCAACCACCGGTGTGGCTCAGTGGTTGCATGTCAACCTATGAACCAGGAAGTCGTGGTTCAATCCCCAGTGGGGGGCATGCAGGAGGCAGTGATGGATGATTCTTTCTCATCATTGATGTTTCTATCTCGCCCTCTCCCTTACTCTCTGAAATTAATTTTTAAAAAATGTGTATTTTTTTAAAGAAGCAATCAATAAATGTATAAATAAGTGGAACAAATAGATGTTTCTCTCTCAAATCAATCAACCAACCAATCAATTGATTTTTAAAAAGATCATATTGAGCCTAGGAGAGAAAGACAGCAGAAAAAATAATCTTCATTGAACTATCTACAACACATGCTTTCATCGTAACCATATAATACTATGGAATATCTTTTTGTTTTGATGATATTCTTTTTCTTGTGAACTTTGTCCTTTAACTATATTCATTGTAAAGAATGAGAGTCTGAATTGAGAACTGCAAGGGCAGTGAGTATACATGAAAATGCTTTACAAAGGACTAGAGATTTCAGGTACAAGCAGACCTTTACAAAGGATTAGAGATTTCAGGTACAAGCAGACCTGTGTTTCCTGAGAAGCAAAAGGAGAGATTTGAACATTAAATGATCTCTTCAATTTCCTCTGGCTCTCAAATTCTCATAATTCATACAGATAATATACTATAATGAAGATTACATATATATATCACTTACTGTTTCTTTTTAAAAACATTTATGGATACAGCTGTGTTTTTCTAAATGTCTCATTAGTAATACTCAGTCTTGTAAGTCTGGTTCCATAATAATCTATAATGTAACTGCTTCCATCCGAAGGTCCAACAATCTAGAAAAAATATTTCAAAATTAATCATTTTACCAAAGATATTTTCACAACACTTTGAGTTTATTTTTATAGTTGCTAATGAAATTATTTCAGTAGTAGCAATAATGTAACTCAAACTAACTCAAGCAAAAATAAGTAATTTAGTGTCTCATAGCTAAAGAAGATACGAGGGAAGTTCACAGGGTCAAATGAGCTGCAGGAACCAAGGCCTCGAGGACTGAAATTCCATGCCCATGAGGACTCTGGTTTGGTCTCCCTGCCTCTTTGCGTAGCTCTGCTTGCCTTCATTCTCCCAACAGCTCCAGATTCACTTTTTCACAGCTCAGCAGATCCCAACAGAAAGAAAGTAAGATCTTCCTCCTCGGTGTTTATATACCAATTCCAGGGAAGAACTGTGACCTGCTTGGTATTTATGCCTATTGCTGGACAAATTACTGTACCCAAGAGAATAAGATTAATACGATTGGCCAGGCCAGACTTCCTGTGGGAGAAAAGGCAGTGTGACAGTCCTACCAGAACCACATGGAATGGAAAAGGAAGAGGATAGAAAGAAAAAAGAAAAATCCACATGCTCATTACAATCATCTTGTTCTCTTAATCACATTTTTGGGAATACAATTAACATGATCTCTACAAATGATCCTTCAAAGCAGCAATCTTCAAAATGTAGCTTTAGGGACCTAGCCAGTTTGGCTCAGTGGACAGAGCATTGGCCCTCGGACTGAAGGGTCCCAGCTTCGATTCCGGTCAAGAGCATGTACCTCAGTTGCAGGCTGGATTCTCAGCCCTGGTAGGGGCACATGTGGGAGGCAACCAATGGATGTGTCTCTCTCACATTTCTCTCTTCCCTCTTCTCTCTCTCTCTCTCTCTCTCTCTCTCTCTCTCTCTCTCTCTCTCTCTCTCTCTCTCTCTCCCCTCCCTTCCACTCTCTCTAAAAGCCAATGGAAAAATATCCTTAGTGAGGATTAACAACAACAAAAATGTAGCCTTAGGGATTACAAAGATTAACCAAGGTGTATGTGAGCCCAGATAGTTCTAAGGCAATCAGTTTTGAGATTCTTAATTCGATTATGTACTCTTGGTAAAAATGATATCCCTGATGCTATGGTGGAGGCATCAGGCTAGTACCCTTCCCCACTTCCTTTTCACTGTGGCTCTTTCTCCAACTTGACAACAGTAAAGACACCTCCCATCAAAGCATATCCAGAGTCTTATGATGACACATTGCCTTGAGGTATAAAGACCTCTGATGTGCCTAACAAAGAGATAATTCAAAATACTGGACTTGGGGAAATCTCCGTTAATTAAGAGACTAAAAATATGCTCTTCCATTTCTTGTTCAAAGGGATGCATTCCTAATATCACTTTACTTTTTTTTTTGCTTAAAATTATTTGCTAAAATTTGTAACCTTTATGCTGTTTTGATCAATTGTATATCATTAGTAATCACAATGCAACTCAATCCAGAAATCACAGAAAATTTAAAATCTTTTCATTTTAATGAGTAAGATGCTTTCCCTGTCCTGATATTTTAAATTCTGTGGTATTTATATTCTGTTAGGTAAATTTTTTAGTTAATGTAAGTTTTATTTAAATATATAATATTTATAAACCAGAAATTACACCCTTTGCAACTATTTAAATTTATGATGAAAAACTTAAATGTCAACTTAAAAACATACAAAGGGTAGGAATTTTTAAAAAATTCTTTTAGGGATTAAACAACTGGAGTTTAATTAACACTGCTGTAGAAAATTCTTTGTTTTTAAAATGAATTTGGTTCTAAAAACTATTCAACAAACACTTAATTCCTATAATATTACAGATACTGTGCTAGGTGTTATACACATAACAGCAGAGGATACAATCTCCGCCAACAGTGAAAGATGAATGTCAATATTCAAAGAACACAAGCACTTATGTGCTAGATACCAGGCTGGGTACTGTAATGCACTTTGACTTACTTTGTAAAGTTTAAATTGATTTGGCTTCCCATTTATGAATGTTACTAATGAATTTAAGTAAAACTTAAAACTTTTTTAGTGGCCAAACTCACAGAGAAAACCACTCTAAGAATTAACACAAGAAAGAGAAAAACGGGTGACTAGAAGTAACAACATGTTTTGAGACTGTATAAGGGAAACAAAAAAGGCAGTAGATATATTTTACCAAATCAAATGGTAAAACATTGTCTAATTTGGAATATGTGCATAGATTAGAACTGGGCCTACTGTCCTATTGTCATTTTCTTCCTATGCCATCTTCTTTGACAATCTCACTTCTGTTGAAAAAGAAAGTATTCAGAAGTTGGAAATAAGGACAATATATGACAGGGTGACCCTTTAGTAGCATGCATTTCTTATAAGCTCATCTGAGGCTCACGTGGCTCTCTCAGGAAATAAAACTATTTACCTGAAAACCGATTAGGGCCCAGATGCTTTATAATCTTGTCAAGTTAGCAGTTAACATGTAGAAAAATGATAGGGTCGTTTTTGTTTTGTTTCCCCCGTCCTGTAGAAAAGATACCCTCAGAGTTTACAGTTTTATTATCTGCAAATGCATGACCCAATTTTGTCTCTAGTTTAGCAAACTATTACAGATTTCTTTCCCTCAAACTCCAAGACTCTAGTTCCTCAGCACCTAGTTCTATCATGGTAATTCCAATCCTCCCTCCAGAGACTGGTTTAGCCTGGGCCTATAATGGAATCGCCTGTGAGATGAGTTCTGTGGGGGCTTATTTGCCCTTAAGAAGACATGTGTGAGAGGAAGGTAACTATGTAAAAAAGTGATGCCTCTGACGATAACTATGTAAGAAAGTGGTAACCAAAAGACCTGAAGATGGCAAAGAGAAAGAGGAAGGAAAGAGAGGAGGGAATGAATGGAAGGAGGAAGAGAGGAAGAGGAATAAGGAAGGAAAGATCTGGGTCCTTTATTATGTCCTTCATAATAAATTTAGTCCTTCAGGTCTAAATTAGCAAATCTTAGAACTACCTTTATCTCCAGATTCTTGGTATCCTATATAATAGAAGCCTAATATGCTAAGTGTCCAACTGTTTCATTCAGCCATCTGACCAGTTGCTATGGCAAGCACTGACCACCAGGGGGCAGACGCTCCCTATGGTAGGTTAGCTTGCTGCTGGGGTTCGTTCGATGGGAAATTAGTTTGTACAATGGATGTTAATGTCCCTGGTATGAGAAGCCCTAAAACCAAAAGAAAGCAACTTCTTTCCCTCTCTATATTAGTTTACTGCAGCTACTATAACAAATTATCACAAACTTAGTGGATTAAAACAATATAAATTTACTCTCTCACAGTTCTGGAGGCCATAAGTCTAAAATTCAGGTATCGGCACAACCGTGTGTCCTAGACACTGTAGGGGAGAATCCATGGTAAGCTTCTTCTAGCTTCTGGTAGCAATCAGCACTCCTTGGCATTCTGTGGTTTGTGGCCACATCACTCCAATTTCTGCCTCTGTCTTCACACTACCTTCTTTTCTGTGTCTGTGTCTTTTCCTCCTCTACTTCCTTTAAAGACAGTTGAATTGAATTTAGGGCCCACCCAGATAATCATTTGATTTAAAGACTAGTTAGCATTAATCCTTAATGACCAACACAAACATCACTTCTCAAGAAATGAATAATATTTCCCATTATATCTCCTGAGGAAAACAGAGCATTGGGATTACTCTCAGAACCAGTTTAAGATATTCTTTGTTTTATGAACATTCCTTTCATTCCCAAAGTAAAAATCTGCCCATAGCATAAGTGAACTGAGAGCTACCTAATTAAGGTCACATGACACAAATGATCAGTCTCCTCAGTTTTCCAGTTTATTTCCCCAATTAATCACACCAGGGTTAAATAAATAATACACTGAGCTATTTGGAAGACTTGCTATCTACAAAATGTCCACTGGTTTTTATATATTGCTGTCCTACATCTAGTGAACTATCAAGGACTTTGACCAACTTTTCCCATGCTGGTAATAGATTTAGGGTGATTACATGTTTAGTCATTCTTTTGATCAATAGCATGTTATTTCACAGGACAAAATTGGCTTACACAGAAGAGAACTCTAACCCTAACTTTATTTATGCTCTGAACTGAAAAGGCTTTTAAAATTTTTAGTAAAATTAAAAGTACTTAAGATAGTCGGGTTAACTTTTTTATTTTAAACCTGCAGTTGTCAAGGAAATATTTTATGTCGAATAATAAGTGAAATCTTATCATCAGACCACACTCTTGGGATGGTAGATCATAAGTTCCTTTAGGGCAAGGATCTCAATTTATTATAGCTAATTGTGCTCATTAAACTCATTTTCATTGATGGCATAAAACCTAATATTTACAATTTATCATGCCAACTTTTATTTGCATTCATTACCTCTCAAGTGACCATATAAAACTTAGAGCTTTAAGGCCCTAAAAAAAAAAAAAAAAGCAATCACTTTTTTAAAACTACCATTTTTAGCTTCTCATCTTCTCTGTAACTGGAACAAAGCCACACTTTCACAAGATAATGCATACAGTTCAAATCAGCAAAAGTTTTTGAGGACATACTCTATATTTAGCATACTACTAGTGCTATACAGGATTAATAAGTCTTTTTTTTTTTCTTCAAGAAGTTTATGTGTGAAAGTTCAGATCTGGTGTAAAAGTTAAGAAATAATATAAAAGCAATATATAATCCAATGCTAAAATGAGTTACATATATTAAATGCCACACTAATGAGATACTTTATAAATTTACTTGTAAAATTCATAAATATCTTGGAGATTATGCAGCTTTTCTGAATTTCTGCTTATGTAGTTATTAGTCCTTTAAGGAAATCTACTCTGTAATGTCAATAGGAATGAAAATGAAAGTGATTTCTTCCATAATATATAGAATTTTTAAAAATTGTCACAAAGAACCCAACATACTTCCTTTTAACAACTTTCTATATTAAAACTAACCTTCTTCATCTTTCTGATTTGTGGCTGTCTTGTCTCCACTTAACAGAAGAAACGTTCTTTTCTTTTTGTTTGACAGAGTACATATCATAGGTTTGGGTGTAATTTAAAATGTCCAGATTGTGTGAAAAAAGAGGTTTAAATGGAATCCAAATATGCTATTTTTTCTGATTAAAAAACTTTAAATTGTCTAATCCTTCATGATTACACAAACATATACAAACACAAAAGAATAAGTGTTTTAAAATCTTTGGAAATGCCTTATGAATAATTATATAGTAGTTATACACAATAGTTACCTATAACTGAAAGACAATAGTCTACACATGTATCACTGATTTAGTTTTTTGGTTGAATGCACAAAATAACTGAATTAATTCTATGTATTGTTTCATGCCATTCATTCACATAGGGCCACTTGCATATTTTTAATAACAACAACAACAAAAAGAAAAGAAACTTTCAAGTTTATTAACAAGTAGATAAACTCATGGAAATATTTTCAGTATATATAGCAATATGTAAAGCTTACTTTAGTAATGTGTGATTGTACTCTTTGGTTCAAAGATGAAATAACTAGAGCTATTTTTTAAAGAGGATTTTTCTGGATTTGTGTTATAGACACTATGAAGCAAAGTATGTTTTTATAGGTCTTGAATTCATGCACAATATGTTTCTGGGATCACAGCCCAATAGAAAAACACTGCAATTCACTAGGGAATAATATTTAATGGAAAAAAATCAGGGATAGAGAAAAAAAGAAGAAGAGTAAACAAAAAGATCATGAGAAGTTAGAAAAAAATATATTTGAAACAGTTTCTGATTTTTATAGTAAAATCTTATTTGATTTGCTGAAAAAAAATTTTTTTAATATAGTCAACATCACATGTTAAGTATATCAAATGACATTTAAAATAAGGCTACAGGTCTTATTTGGCTGCATTTGAAAACTGATTTATTTTTCCTCCAATCTAAAAGCAATCTAAAATGGCTGTACCTATTGAAATGTCTTATTTAGGGATATTTATTGCAGAATTTCAAACATTCTAAATCTACCTCAGTAATTTTTTAATGTAATAGTGTCAATGCCAGATCTTCAAGAAAATATTTGTTCTGAAAAGTTTAGGCATACATGTACCAGAAAGCAGTAGCTAAATCAAGTAAGCTCTCTAATTTGATATCCTATATAATAAAAGGGTAATATGCAAATTGCCCCCTCAACTGGGAATTAACCAGAGTTTGACCAGGGGGCAGGGTTGACCACCCCAGGGCCCCTCCTCCCAGCTGGCCCCGTCCCCGATTGCCCCCCACCCCAATTGGGGGCAGGGTGGCTGGCCAATCTCCCAGGTCCCCGCCCCACAGCTGGCTTGATTGGCCCGATCTCGGGCCAGCTAGACTCCATCCGTGCAAGAAAGCTATAATGTAATGATATCACCAAAGAAAGAACCCAGTGTGAAAATAATAACTAAATGGTTGACACTGAATTCTGTATATCTGAAAGAATCCCAATAATACATTAAGTTCCTTGGATCCACAATTAAAGTGAGAAACCATCTCAAAGCATATGTGCCAAGTACCTTAGCCTCTTCATGTCTGCTTGCCTGTCCCACAATCAGAGAAGGCAGGATATTTGGTTAAGCATGTTTATGAATAAAGACAGGAAAATTCCAACTTTAAAACCAAATATTTTCCTTATTTAAATTCTGGTACCTTATTGGTCCATATGTTGCCTCTTCCTCACAGTATGGTACCCTCCTCACAGTATGCTACCAAAACCTCCTAGACTTTGACTTTCTTTTAAAGCATAAGGATAGCATCAAGCAGACTGAACTGAGGAGTGGAAATACTGTATGAGACAGAATACAAAACTGATGATGATCAAAATACATACTGACACACTTGTTGAAGAAATTAGGTGCTCCATAAATGCTTACTGAAATGCTGTTTTGTGACATTTGTTATGATAAATTCATCTTTCTCTAATTTAAGAATCCTCATGAGTTAACCACAACCAGTTCAGTATAATTTAATAGAAAACATCTGGTGGCACTTTTAAATGCCTAGGGATAGCATTTCACAAATTATGCCTGTCTCCATAGCACTGTAGTAGCAAAAAATGAGGCAGACACAGAGAAACAGAGATGAATATCAGGAGAGTCCTGATACATCATTTTATTACATTGATTTGATCTTACTGGAGACCAGCCCCACTCTTCAATTATCTACAGAGAACCCAAACATTCCTTTTCTCTTTTTGTCTTAAGAGAGATAGACTTCAGTTTCTATAATTTGCAACTAAAAAAATACTAATATTGAGTGCTTGTCCAATGCAAAAGAAAATCTTGTTTCTGCCTCCAGGTGTCCATATGTAAATATCAAATCCCATCAGTATCCTAGTATATAAATTGATCATGTGTCTGTGACTATCAGAAAAAGAAACAATAAGTTTGAGAAATAAGCCCAATCCTTCTTAGAGATTCATAATACACACTATAAAAGATTCTGAGAAGTTATCCAGTAAAAAAAAATCTCTTTAAATCATTTTAACTCACATTTACAAATCATATTTGATCATAGAATCCTTTTTTTATGAAGTTATATCTTTTAGAACTACTAATTGGAAGAGCACAAATTGGAAAATGCTACTTGGAAACATAGCCATGATCCCTTGGATATAGCATCTGAAGAAAAACTGAAAAAGCATTCTTAACCGCTACCTAGTATATTTAAAATATATCAGAAGATCACAGACATCAAATTTGAATGTAAAAATAGTTCATCTCCTAGATAAAAACTAACTTACGACTTGGCTGATGAGGCTCAGTGGTTGAGTGTCAACCTATGAACCAGGTCACTGTTTGATTCCCAGTCAGGGCACATGCTGGGTTGGGGGCTTGATTCCCAGTAGGGGGCGTGCAGAAGGAAGCCTATCAATGATTCTCTCTCATCATTGATGTTTCTCTCTCGCTCCCTTTCCCTTCCTCTCTCTGAAGTCAATAAAAATGTATTTAAAAATAAAAACAAAAAAAATAACTTACCTGCATTGAAATAAGAATGAAGTCAATTAGGCTCCCAATTCCACAAAATCCTACAGTGCAAAACTTTAACAAACCTAGAAAAGAAGGTAAGATCATTTATACCTGGGAAGTCTTATAATTATTAACAAACTTTTCCATTTCCCAATAAATCATTACATATAATACAAACTCTTTATATCAAGAATATAAAATTAACACTTAAAAAAATCAAATCTTCACCTGAGAAAAGTTTAAAGGTTCCTCTATATAGAAAAACCACAATAAAAATAAATATTAGGAACTGAAAGAAAAACTCAATGTAATCTTACAAAATTTCTTAAGAGAAAAGGCATGAGGAAATAAATCTTTAAATCTCAGTAAATAAAAGGTAAAGAACAACTTTTAGTCCTAAAATCTTTATTTATTCATTTAGACTTAATATATTATGTCTAAATTGTAATATACATTTAGTATAATGTCCAAATAAAGACTGACAAGGCACAAGAAAAATAATCAGGAAAAAATACTGATATTATAGTTAAATTTTTAAAATGTATTAGTAATCTAATTATCTTGAATTTATCCTATACTTTTTTCTAGCATCTCATGTTTATTAGTTCTACAACAATTCTGTGCACTATAGATACACCTCTGTTCTTGGTCCCAACCTTAGAGGTAAGGTACTAAATAGATGGCAATAGAGCATATATAAGATATAACACAAAATCTTGATGATGAAATCAGAAGAGGCAGATTAGGGGTGAGGGTGGAATGAGTAATCTCTCTTCTATATTTAAACTTGAGTTGCTTTCCAGACATCCCATTTGAGACATAAAAAATGGTATGAAGCACGACTCTACGTGAAAGGGCAGTTCTAAGTTCCAACTACATACAGATGCTGGCTAAAATCAGAGTGGATGAGATCACCTCTTGCACACAATTTTGAAATACACAAAGAAGACTGAAATATGTAGGTACATTAGATTACTTTGCCCCTTCCTAGTATTACACAAATAGCAGAATAATGTTGTAAGTACTAGATTAATACATGTTGGAAATAATTTAAAACTATTAAAATATAAAAATTATATGAAATTATTCTTTTAGTTTTCTTCAAAACACTTATTATCTACTTAATATTTTATATTTGATTACTGTCTCACAGAAGCCCCATTAGGGAAGTGTCTTTTTTCTTTTTATTGATTTTAGAGAGAGGGGAAAGGAGAAAGCAAAAGAAAGAGATACATCAATTTGTCGTTCCACTTATTTATTCATTTATTGATTGATTCTTGTATGTGCCCTGACCAGAGATCAAACCCGCAACATTGGTGTATGGAGAAGCCATTCTAATGATCAGAGGTACGCAGCCAGGGCTGGGAAGCATCTGTTATCTGTTTAATTTACTCCTGTGTCTAGTACCTACGACACTGTCTGGCACATGATAGATGATCAATATTTGTTGAATGAACGAATAAATTTTTTCAGCCTTTCTGTTTCCTAAAGATCCCTAATTTTTTATCCATCACCTTACATAACAACTCCTTTAATTACTTTTTCATTAGTTGCATTTTATTGTGCCCAAGGAACAGTCAGTCAGTATACTCACTCACTGTATTTCTGAAATGTATCCCTCTCCACCTAGCATTTATAAATTCGGAAACATTTCCCTTCCTTCAATTTATTAAAAAATATTAAGAATGGTCCAAAAAAAGTTTGTCTTTAATTATCTGCTACTCTATGAAGACAATATAACCATGTCAGTCAGAGCCTTTGCCCTTATCATGCCCTCTTCCAATGATGTCTTCCTGTAGCTCTTCTCATTTCTCAAGCTGCTTCTTTAGAGAAGTCTTCTAATCTGCCCACCTAAAGCAGCATCCATCCACAACCCCTCCCCCACCCAAAACACTCTATCACATCTCCCCTATTTCCCTCATGGTGCTGATTAGATCGGTAACAGCCTCATTCACTGGTTTGCTCATTTCATTCTGTCTTCCATTGCCAGGTAAATTCCTAAAGGCAGGATCCTATCTGTCTGTCTTATTCAAGTCAATTCCTTGAACAGTAGTACAACAGACAGCAAGAGTTTGATAAATACCTGTTGTATGACTATCAAAATACCAGATACAATCTAAATGTCAAACAGGGAGGAGTTGTCTCAAAATATTCAGGTACATCTAACAACAGGAAAAAATACTACACAACTGTTTAAAACAATGATATGAAATGGTATTTGTTGCTAACTATCCTTCGCTACACAGAAAAAGATGAGATCATTAAAATCTAGATTTCTGCTGCTGAACCCCTTTTTAAGAGTGCTTCAAAATGAACAGAAGTTCCTGTTCAGACAAAATATTAGATAAGAAAATGTGTTAGGAACTTTGGTAAATGTGAGAGAACACATTTAAAGAAACTAAGAACAGATCCAGATGATTTTTAAACATTTAAGGAACTGCAAACTAATCTATAGTGACAGAAAGCAGACAAGTGCTTGCTTGGGAAAGAGCAGGATAAGGAGGGCCAAGAGGCAGAGATTAACAAATGGGCATGAGGAAACTTTTGGGAGTGACAGATATGGTCATTATCTTGATTATGGGGATTGCTTCACAGGCGTATACATATGTCTAACTTATCAAAATGTACATTTTAAATGTGTACTTTATTATATATCATTTATACCTCAATAAAGCTGTTTAAAAAGATTTAAATAACTAAGCTGACTGTTAAAGAAAAACTTCAAAGTTTAAAATCATTACATTGATTTATATTAAGTCTCACTCCGAATGTGTGATATTAATTAACTATGGTCCATTTATTTCTATAAATTTAAGATAAAGGATAACTTAACTAATGAGGTTGCTAATAATACTATCTTAAATTTGTTTTAGCTTTCAAATATAAAAATACTTTATGAAAATAAGATAGGAAGGACATTAAGGATTAAAAAAAGAGAGAGAGAAAGTAAAAAACTTAGGCTAGTACATGGCACATGGAAAACATTTGATAAATGTTAGCCCGGCTGCTACTTGTGCTACCACAATTTCTACTACTACTACACTTATTATTATAATCAAGAAATTTAGACAACATAAATCCACATTCTTTATATTAGCATCATCTAACCTAGTCAACCTAGTCTCATCTCTTGCAAACTCCTTCTGCCTGTGTTACAGCCCAACCAACTAAAGTTTTCTTAATGTGCCCTGCTCTTGTATCTCCTTCACCTAACTCTGCATTTATGTGTGCTACACTGTTCTCTGCCTTGCTCCTTCCTTTTCCCCACCACTATTCCCAATCTAGCTGACCCCTAATAGTATTCTAAACCTTCTAGAAAGTCTTCTCTAATGCCCCCAGGATGAATTTAATGCCATTCCTAGATATTCCTCAGCACCTTTAAGTTGCAGCATAGCACATATCCCATCATATGATTTATTATGAATTTATTATTTGTCTGTCTTCCCTTATGCTTCTGTGAGCAACTTGAAATCAGGGCTGTGTCATGCCCATGCCTAGTCAATATGACTACAGAAGGAACAAACTGTATCAAATAAGTTATCTCACTTGTAAATAAACACTGATCAACTTGGACAAAAAATAGCATAGATTCTAAACAGCATTTATTAAAACCAACATAAACCATTACTCGTATAGATTTCATTATTTTGAGCATCAGTACCAATTTTTTAAAAGATGGGATATTTGTGAACTACTAAGAGTAGATTGACTTCTTCTCCCTGCTCACCCCCCCCCCCCCCCCCCCCCCCCGCCAAATAAAGTCATCTTTGTACAAACCCTATTTATTAACTTCTTATTGTGGAAAGAAATATCAGCTTTAGATTTTAAAAAATTGTTTTAAAATTCCAAATAAAAGTGTTTCTAATCAAGAAGAATCCATTTTTATACTGAACCATTACTATTGTAGATATATTCTTTCAAAAAGATTATGCTACCAAATGAATTAATAAAGCTCATGTTTTGAGTGTACTTCATTTATACTTAGTAACTTAAACTTTACATTTTAAAAACACAAGTTCAATGAAAGGATTTATCTGGATATAAAATTAAAAGAACAGAGATTAATTTGGGGCATTTAAAAAAATTTTTGGTATTTTTTGTTTTATTGCAGGTTGAGTCCTGCAAATATTCCTCTGTCCACATAACTGTTTTAGAGAACACAGATTACTTCATAATGAAGTTGCTGTTGCCAAACTGCAAGTGTTCCATAATGATTTGGTTTTCATTACTCTTTTTGTGTCTGGTACCTATGAAAGAAAGCTTTCAAACCTTAGAAAAGTTTAACCTACAAATCCTTTTATTTGTCCTATTTGGATATTATATGTCAGTCCAAGCTGGTAACTTCAAACTTAGAGAAAAAAAGAGGAATAATATAACCAAAGATGTTTAAGATATGGGCTTTAAAACATACAACACTTTGTTATTCTCATAATAAGAAAATATTTACATTTTAAAATGAATACCACTATGAAAAGAGCATCTCTTCTATTAACTGCATCAAAAGAGCTATCATCTTTGAGAATCTATAACCCTTTAATGCTACAGAGAAGCAAAACAAAATATGCTAGCTCTTGCATAGAAAAAGTCACAGATATACCACAATTAAAAACACAAAGACAGAATATTATTTTAAAATATAAGGCTTTGTGGTGAAAAATAGCTTCTAGCTAAAGTAGCACTGGTATATCAAGAAAAAATCAATTAAAAGAAATAAAGCTGGGTTTATATAAATTACAGCATAGGAAATATAGTCAATAATGTTGTAATAATTATGTATGGTGCCAGGTAGGTACTAGAAATATCATATCAGGGAGGGGGTACACTTTGTAAAGTATATAATTGTCTAACTACTATGCTATACACCTGAAACTGAAATAATATTAAATGTAAACTGCAACTGAAATTTTTTTAAAAAATTAAAAGAAAAAGCAAGCTATATATTGTTTAAAAAATAAAAAAGCAAGATTTTTGCCTGGACAGAGTGGCTCAGTGGTTGAGCATTGACCAATGAACCAGGAGGTCACAGTTGAATTCCTGGTCAGGGTATATGCCCGGGTTGCAGGCGTGATCCCCAGTGTGGGGCATGTAGGAGACTGCCGATCAATGATTCTCTCTCATCATTGATGTTTCTCGTTCTCTTTCCCTCTCCCTTCCTCTCTGAAATCATTAAAAAATATATATTAAAAAAAGAAGTTTTTCAAATTTACCCATCTGACTTTTATTCTTTAAAGCATAAAGTCATAACTGTGGACTAATAAGAAATTTAAAATATACACAAAGACTATTTTTCTTAAAGGAATTTTTATATTTTTATAAAATTTTATGCAATTTCACCCCCAACAAATGTCCCTTGTTTAATCCTGAAGTAAAATTTATACAGTAAATTATCATACTCATCACTAAATTATTTTTAAAAAAGTTTCATATGTATACGATTTATATTATTTATTCTGTTCTTATAAAACTCCAATGACCATAAATAAAAGAAGTATTTTAAAAAGCTATCTATAAATACAACCACTGCTTTTTGTAACCATAAAGACTGCATAAGATTAAATAGGATTATATACCAGTCAACATTGTTTTATCCAGTTAAGAATTTTTTTTAAATGGAAGTAATCATTTAAATTGAAAATACCAAAATTCCTTAACTTTGGATTCATGGTAAAAATTAAAATTTAACTAAAAAATTTAAAATTTAAAAACACTGTAATTTGATATAGTATTTTAGATTAATTGATAAAACTAATCTTTAACATTAAGATAGCTTAAATGCAAGTAAGATACAGATAAAAATACTTGAATGCTTAAAGACATAAGAGGATTTTCAGTTTAAGATAATGAATTTGACATGCCACTTAGCAATTCTCACACCAAAATCCCACTTAAAAATGGTAAAGGGATTTTTAAAATCACAAACCAAATGGAATAAAGATAATGGAAGATAAGACAACAAAACTTCAGGAGCTGTAACACAGACCTAATCTTGAGAAACTGTATCTAAATCAATAGTCAAAATAAATTATTGAATTAATGAACATCCAAAGGTTCTTGTGATAATAAAGTGAGTTATTTACAGATTTTTTAAAAAATACCTTTACACTGAGCCATAAAGTTAAATGTTAATTATATTTGAAGGTTTATAGAATCTCAGACTCAAACTAAAAGGTTCTCTTTGACTGAAGCTAATAGATTGGAGTAGCAATAGCCAGAGAAAGGCAACTCCTGCCAAAGTTAGTGAACTAACATTCACTAACCAAAGCTACTATAGAGTTTTATACAGAGCTTTATACCTATAGTTTGATTGTACAGGGAAAAAAATTTCACAATGCACATATCAACATATTATTATGTGCTGCAGTAAGCAAAAACATTAACTTATACTATAGGACATTACAGCTCAGGGGCCAAGCATTACAAGAAGCTAAAATGCCACTCATTATGCCAAATATTTAAAATATATTCACAATTCAAAATCATCACAGAATAAACTGTTCTAAAGTACAGTGTTTTCTCCTTTCTCTTAATCTTTTAAAAACTTTTTAAAAGTTAGAAATGTTTCAAAAAAATCTATAATAAAAGGGTAATATGCTAATTAGACAGGACATCTTCCAGATGTTCTTCCTGATGAAGCTGGGCCAGAGGGAAGTCAGCCCAGGTCCCAGGTGCCTGCGGGCTGCCCAAGGGAAGCCAGCCCGGGTCCCGGATGCTGGAGGGAAGCGGGTGCTGGCAGCTGGGGGAAGGAAGGCCTACTCTTGCATGAATTTTCATGCATCAGGCCTCTAGTATGTATGTATGTGTGTATGTGTATGTATATATATATATATGATCCTATCCTCTTAAAGAGAACATAACAGAAAATGCAAGGACTAAGGCAGAAGGCTTTGGCTGTATTTTAACCATCTGATATCACCATGACATTTTACTTTCTCATTATGAACCTAAATTCTCTGTCTAACCATGCACCCATCCATCCATCCCATCCATTCATAATCTAAAAAGAGTAATACAGACTAAATGATTTTTGTTCTGTTAACTTAGAGGCCTTCCATGCATATTATATGGCTTTCCGCTGTTATAGAAAGGTATGGTTGCTGTTACAAATGGCATGAACGTGCAGTTACACCATAACCAGACCAGTACTACTGCATCAATCTCTCCTCAGCTTACTCTGCTACCAGTCTTTCTCTGTTTAAGCCATTACCCTTCCTGAAATATAAATCTGACCATGATACTCCTCTGTTTACAAACTTTTAGGGCTTCTGACATTAAAGGGTAAAGTCCAAACTCCCTACGAAGACTCAAAGTTTTATAATCTAACCAAAGAATACCTGTGCAGTCACTTTTCACCTCCTGTCATAGTTCCTTCTACACCACAGGCTAACGTAGCCACCATTCTTTCAACATGCACACATGCTCCTTCATACCCTGTTGCCTTTGACATGCTATTCCCGGTATTGTCCTTAATCTCTCTAATCAGTTTATCCTTCAAAACATAGTTCAAATGTCACCCCATCTAAGAAGGCCTTCCTCACAGTCACTTTCTGTGCTCTCATAGCACTTTGCTATAGTTCTATAAAAGTGCTACATCATAAATTGACCTACAAACATATTCATTTTCTTTATAGCCAATATGAACTGTGATCATCATTATTTCCAGAGCACTTAGTTACTACTTCCTTAAGGTAGTAAATGCTGAATAAATGTTTGTTAACTGAATAAATTCATGTATACAGTATTTTAAACTTTGACTTCTATTTAGGACCTTATAACACTGAGCTCCAGGTAAGGCTGTCAGAAACATACTTCCCACCAACCTCACAGTGAAGATTCTTCTTTGATCTCTGGTGCATAGCAACATGAAAAGAATAAGATTCGCTTTGCTAGCTGGAAAGAAGAGCATTCAGAAACCTTAAATTTGCTCAGTGAAGAGTTAATGTAGAAGCGGAGTACTACAGTAAATAAAGCATGATCTCTTGAGCCGGAAAATTGGGGTTCAAATTCAGGTCACTGAGTGTCCTTGGGCAAATCTCTTAATCTCATGACAATTTCCCTATCCATAAAACAAGAATGATAACAACAAATATGTCACAGAATAAAGCAAGGCCTCTAGAGTCAGTAAATCCCTTAACCTCTCTGGTGACAATTTCCCTACCTGTTAAAGAAGATTTAAAGACGATGATAAACTCAAGAGAGTTGCAAGGCTTAAATAAGAGCTGACATGTGAAAGTACTGCTTAAATAAAACCTATCATCAAATGTAAATAGGTTTCATAAACTTTACTAGCTATGGTAAATGTGAAGATTACAACTAAGAGGAAGGTATGGGGAGGTATGCAAAGGATAATAAAAGTCAGAGTCTGTACCAGCTTATGCTGGCTTCCATAGTTCTATTCCCAAGCCAACACTGAGAGAGGTTCAGATAGAAGAAAATATTATTTGGAGAAATGCTAATTTATTCATAAAATATTTATCGAGCACTCACTGTGTGCCCAGCACTAGCAATGACAGCTCAGTCACTGTCCTAAGTAAGTGACTACACTATCTCAAGTATGTGTTTTCACAAAGATGAAGATAGATGAAAAGTCAGTATTTCTTAACCAAGCTGAAATATAGAGCCCTATATTCACAGAAGAATATTAACTATTCTACTCCAGGTAGAATATGCAGAGATTCGATCTATAAGAATAGGTACATTTACCTACCACACAAGTTTCACAAGGATTTTTTTAATGAAATATACTCACCCAAGGCAGGGTATCCAAGGTAAAATCGATCTGCTCCCAACCATCCAAGAAAAAGAGACAGTGCAACAGCCACTTTATATGAATAGCCATTTCTGCACAAAATTAGAACCTGAGTGTCACCTTCAACATGTAACATTTTAGAAAACAAAACTGCTAGTTATTATTTACTTGTTAATTAGTTCATTCATTCATTCAATTAATGCTTTTTGGGTAGCTACTGCATGCCAAGAACTATTCTAGGCTATTGGAATATTTTAATGAATAAAAGAGACAAAGATCCCTACCCCTAAAGAGCTAACAATCTAGTGGCAGCAAACAATAAAAATATTTACAGTAAATCATATATTAAGAAAGCCATACATGTTATGAAAAAAAAATGGAACAGAGTGTGTAGGAATCCAGAACGCTAGGGATACAAACAGGAGCCATTTAAATAAGGTGATTAGAGGGCTTACTGAGAAGGTGATATTTGAGCAAAGACCTTAGGGAGGTGAGTCAGCCATGTCATGCCTCTGAAGGAAGAGTGTCCCAGACAACACACTGCTATTTACAAAGGCAGCACACCTTACATGTTTGAGGTCTATTAAGGAGGACACTGTGGCAGGAGTAAAGGGGGAGAAGGGAAGAATAGAAGACAACGTCAGAGAGGTAATAGGGGGCAAACAGGACAGCTCATGCAGGACCTTGAATACCATTATAAAGACTCTGCCTTTTGCTCTGAGAGATCATGGAAAACTACTGTAAAGTCCAACCTGAGTGGCTAGCTGTTCTCAACAGATGATATTCTTAGTTACTGTATTATCTATAATAATAAAAGTGTAATATGCTAATTAGACCGGACGACCTAACATCAGATGAAACCAGGGCTGCGAGGAAAGCACGAGTCCCTGGGTGTCTGCCGGCAGCCACAGGGAAACCTGGGTCCCGGGTGCCTGCTGGTGGCTGGCACTGGGGGAAGGAAGGCCTGCTCTTGCACAAATTTCATGCATTGGGCCTCTAGCAGCCTAATATCTTAGACCAGCACTTAATAAATTGTCATTTGGAAAGTTTAAGGTAAAAATATCAATCTATAAATTTCAAAATTGTCTAAACCATATCTAAATACTTTGGAAATAATTCCTTTTTAACAATTTTTACTTTACTAATGAGAACTCTTAGAAGCCAAGAATCCTAAATGATTGGCTTAGAAAGATAGAATCTAAAGCCCCTCATTAATTCAGTGAAGTAGGGTCAAAAGAAAAAAAAAAAGGCTCTAATAGTAATTTCTAAGAATTCTAATAGAACTTGTAAAGCCAAACAGTGGTTTTTTTTTTTATAAATTCAAATATAGATATCATCAAATAGCTGCAACAATGTACAGTTAAAAGGTAAAAATATAGTGCCAGCAATTAATAAAAGTGAATAAAACTAAGCTTTTAGCACAAAGCAAAAATAGAGGAACAAAATGTTAGCTTTACTGAAGCAAAATTAAAAGCAAACTTAAAAGACCTTTAAACAAAGAATATTCCTAATAAAATAAAGCCATTTATCTTAATATCCCAACTAACATTTGAATTGTTTTACATTACCATTTATCATCCATGCCTATTACAAAAAATGAAACCAAGTTTCAAAATTCCCTTAATATGCAAATGACTTAATAGTTAGCATTCTTTTAATAGCACAAGTACATAATCCTTTATTTTGAACTCTAGAAATCCCCCAAATTTTGAGAACATAATTTTTTCCTAACTAATTTGGGTAGCCTAATTGACTGAACTGACATGGCATAAGGCCGTTCAGTCTTCATTTATCCCAAGTAGTGAACAACAGAGCTTTACTTGGTTGGTAAATTGCATTTATAAAACAATATAATATGCACACTTAAAGAAGAAGTTTTCTGATACAAGCAAAAAGTTAAATTAGTGAAGAACTTTCCCCATAAATTACCTCTTTATCTCTTCACTGCATGCAGTCACGATACAACATAAGCAAGTGATCTGAAAATTTAACTTCAGTAAGGTACTTACACATTTCGGCAAGATATGGGCTTGAGAAAACCAACTTCATGTCCAGTAAAATGTGTTTCATTGCCACTAAAATCTTTACAAGTTATGTTGGGTGCTGGAAAACATGGAACTAAAGGCAGAAAAAGGCAAAAAACCATTTATTTTTTTGTAGGAAAGGTGTGATTATGTATTGTTTTTTTTAAGACTAACAAAGCACACAAGAGAATATAACATGTAGCAAACCACCTCCCAATAGAACATCTGACATGAGATTTTAATTTAGATAAGAAAAGCTACATGATAGACAGACAGACAGACAAACATAGACAGACCGACAGCCAACCCTGTCTGGTGTAGCTTAGTTAGTTGGAGCGCTGACCCATGCACTGAGACGTTGGTTGTGGGTTCAATGCCTAGTCAGGGCACATGCCCTGCTTGTGGTATTACACATATTTTAGAATAGATGGTCCCCAAAATCATTAGATGAGGGTTTGTTATCCATTTTCAAAGCATCTCTAAGAAAATACTGATACAAAAAAAGAAAAGAGTGATGCATATTTAAAATTCTTACCATACTGTCCTCATACTTAGGATGTACCCAAGTATATATATATTTTTTTAAATATGTTTTTTATTTATTTCAGAGGGGGAAGGAGAAATAGAAACATTAATAATGAGAAATCACCATTGATCAGCCGCCTTCTGCATGCTCCTAACAGGGGATTCAGCTGGAAACCCGGACATGTCCCTGACTGGGAATCTAACCATGACCTTCTGGTTCATAGGTAGAAGCTCAACCAGTGAACCACGCCAGCTGGACTATCAACGTATATTTTACAAGTGCATAATGTGGGTGATACAGCTGCTCACTGTACCTTACTGTACCAACAATCTCATTTTAAGTTCTTTACAAGTAATTAAAAATCTAACTGAAGCAGTACCTTTGCATAACATAGCTTGGTGAATAAAGGGCATCAAGACAGCTTTATAAATTGATTCCAAAGGTTTCAAAAAATGAATGAAACCATAAAACATCCCAGTTTTATAATTAAAGAGAATAAAATTATTTTTTAAGTCCTCTAGCCAGTTCTCCAATTTTAAGTTGTTGCGGAAACTGAATAATGTCATAACTCAAGAAAAAAAACACACGCACTAATTACCTTTAGTGATCATTCATTAATCTATGAAATAGTGTTTTAAAATTTATTTTTAAAGACACGTTTCTGGAAGTCTTACCATGAGCTGTGTAGTTTGTACAGTTAACTGGTTCTTGTGTAGCATCATTTATTTTTGGATCTTTACAAATATATTTAAGAAAAGTTAAGGAAATGTGAACTCCATTCCAACACAAAACATTACCACCTGTTTAATATCTCATATGTACTTATGTTTATATTCACATGTAAAGGGAGGCTGCTAATTTATCCAGGTCAAAAAAGAGAAGCACAAACATATCCTCAGTATCACTAAATAATACCTGAACATTAATTTATTACAGGAAAAGTATATTAACTTAATGTATACTAAAAGCTCTAGCAAAGAATGCCATCCTTAAAGAACATCAGTTAGGGTTTAAGCACAGAGCACACACACACACACACACAAAATGAAAATAAAAATCTTTACCAAATTATTGTAAGAGAGCTTTAAGGTTAAAAAAAATAAATCAGTTTCCAGAGATTTGACTGAACTAATTTACGGGGCCCTCAAGTATTGCCATCTACATAATTTCATGTAACTTGAAAACCCTGTGAGGCAGATACTATTCTTCCAACATTACAGAAGGACAAACTGAGGCTCACAGTCTGAGCGACTTCTCCACAGTCATATCAATGACGGGTTGCAAAATCAGGTTTCCTGACTCCACGCCCAGGGCATGTGCATCGGACTGCAGGGCAGATGGTGCTTCCGGTGGGTCTACATGGTCTCCCCAACAGGATTTTAAGCCTTTGGAAACAGATATAATAATTATATCCTTACAGATACTTAAGACACTTGGGTGCTTTTCTGCTTCCTACTTTATTATTGACGCTATAATGAGACAAGTAAGGAATTCACAAGATGTCTGTTTACGGTTTTGAGTCAGCATTTGAAGACCTCATTTTTATGCCAGGAGTAACAGATATTTTCCCGTTGTCACCACCTTATCGTCCTACATGCTCAGCCACTTCTCTCTGGGGTTCAAAAAGCCCAACTCTTCCTATTGCCCAATTATTTTCTTTGCGAGAACCGCCTTGACCTTTTTGCCGAGAAAAATAACTCAACCTGCTACGTTACTGATTCTCACACTTCAACGAAATGGTATTCAACAAATAAGAGCTGCTCTGCAAAAAAAAACCAAATAACCACGGCCTCTCCTCAAGGTACAGAAAAATAATATAGGACAGAACTCTCTTAATTTTAAGATTTTCCCTCCTAAAATCTTTCCTTTATCTCTCTGCCTTCTGCTATTAACTCTTCTGTTATGCACTTTGCACCAAAGTATCTAATTCTGTTCAGGGGTCGCTATTTTAATTTGCATGCAGCTCCCATGTCATCCTGTGCCTCGGTTTACCAGAACTGTTACACCGAGCAGACCCACTCCACCCCTTCGGCCTCCGTTTTCTCTTCGGTAAACAGGCAGCTCACACCTACAGCTCCGGCTACACGCCAGGCACCGTCCTAAGTCATCACAACAGACCTTTCCATCCATTGGTTTGCCCCCTGGCAGTGCGGCATCGCCACGGGAGCTAGCGAAGGATAAAAGGTAATGATCCTGCAAAGTTCATGACTCCCGGGCAGCACACCCGGCCTCATCGGTATTCACGACCACTGGTCTCACCCGAGACGGCAGACTTCCAGGGGAGGCCCTGCCCATCGCTGGGTCACTAGTGCCGACGGCAGCACCGCGCGTGCTTCAGGATCTAGGTGTTTGTTGAGCACACCAACCCACCAGTCAAAGTAAAAAACATAAACAAACAGGTGGGTCCGAAGAAAAAGCGCCAACAATCGTAAAATCCCTAGGAGATTTACCCAGGGCGGCCTGTTTTTCCCAGTCCCATCTCCCCTCACCTCCCGGCGTCCCCGGTGCTTGGAGGCCACAGGTCCCGCTCCCGGAGGCACAGCCCTAGCCCGCGGCCACCCCCCCTCCCCCTCCCGCCGGGGAGCCCCTCGCAGAGGATATTGTCCCACTCTGAGGTCCTCGCACTTCAGCGTCTCCTCGCCCCCGGCGGCGGCCGCTCCCCAGGGTCCCGTGGTGACTGACACGAACCACAGGACACCCAGGAGCTGGACGGCCGCGGTCTCCAGAACTGCCGGCCCGGAGGGCCAGGCGGCCGCCATGCTGGGGACCGGCGCGTCCCTCACGACTTCCGGTTCCGCCTTCGCTGGGCCTGGAAGCGAGAAGGGCGGGGGAGGCGGGCTCTTAAAGGGACCCAGGCCCGGCTGCTCGCAGGTGCACCTTTCTGTGGGCCCGCTGACCCAGCGGGGAGAGCGTCGGTTTGCTTTCCAGAGGGGAAAAAGGGAGAAGGCGTGCCCCCTCCAACCATCCCATGCTTACTCCCGAGCTAACCTGCTCTGACTGTCTGCCAAGGTGCCCGCGGAGCCCCGCGATTTGATCAGCGCTTTCCAAACATCTCCGTTAGTCCTGGTTGGATTTGGGTTTGCAGGTAACGAACCTGGCTTACAGACACCCAATAAGCACGTTGACCTTATGACTGAGTTGGAATAAAAGGGATGTTTGTCCGATGTCAGAGTCTGTGCGCTTATTGTTGTGCTATAACGGCCTCCCTGTTATGCTGGAGAATTTGCGGAGGGCTCCAGCGCACAGCTGGGCATTGCACCCTTCTTTTCCTCAGGGAACGTTTAGGGGAGGGAAAGGGCCTATGACAGGGCACCACAGAGTTTACCACTAAGTGAAACCTTGGAGGTTGTTTTGTTTTTGAAGATTTTATTTTTTGCTTAATTCTAAACTCTACATTAAATAACTACAATATTTTAGAAAGTCCTTTTGTTTAGCACTGTTTTAATTTAGGATGTTTGTCTGATACTATAGAACAGTGATGGCGAACCTATGACACGCGTGTCAGAGGTGACACGCGAACTCGATTTTTTGGTTGATTTTTCTTTGTTAAATGGCATTTAAGTATATAAAATAAATATCAAAAATATAAATCTTTGTTTTACTATGGTTGCAAATATCAAAAAATGTCTATATGTGACACGGCACCAGAGTTAAGTTAGGGTTTTTCAGAATGCTGACACGCCGAGCTCAAAAGGTTCGCCATCACTGCTATAGAACAACTATACAGCAGTTCCATTGAAATCCCTGTTCCAGCTTACAGGGCTCTGCCCAATTCCTTACTGCAGGTTCTTCAACAGAAAAGTAGAATTATTACACCTCCAGCGACCCATAAGAGATTAGAACTGGATTGCAGTTGTTTTTTTAAATAAATGTGCTTCATTGGTAACGAGGATATTTAGGTTTTGTAACCTAATGGCGCCAAAAGCTAAGTGGACATGTGATTCACCAGGGTGCTTGCTGTTAAAGATGTAAATTCTTGGGCCTCATCCCTAGAGATTCTGATTTCTGGCTCAAGAGAGGGGAACCACTTTTCTAATATAATTCCTTTACTTGCAGATGAGTTATTGATTATGCAGACACATCCAGTGGTTTGAAAATAGGAATTGGTCTTTGGCTTTTCAGTTGAGCTGGTTGTAATTAGACAAACTGAAAGCAGCAGAAGAGTTGGAGGGGTTTTTTCCCGTCCATCCCTTCTTTCTACATTTTTATACTAAAATTTCTGTCGTGGGGATATCTTTTGTACTGACCAAATGTATATTTTTAAGTGAAAGTTTAGTCCTTTTTTCCTAGTGTGAAAGTATTTGAATTTGAATGGTGCCTCTTCGTCCACAGTAGCACTGATTTTGAAGAATTGTATTATGTAGTGATTCCCACACTTTATGGAGCATCAGAGTCATCAGGAGGATTTGTTAAAACACAGGAGGAGCCCTGGCCGGGGTGGCTCAGTTGGTTGGGTCAGTCATCCCATGCACTGAAAGGTTGCGGGTTTCATTCCCAGTCTAGGCACATGCCCAAGTTGTAGGCTCAGCCCCTGGTAGGCAGCATGCAGGCGGCAGCCAATCAAAGTTTCACTCTCACATCATTTCTCTCTCCCTCTTCCTTTCTCTCTCTCTAAAAACCTTTTAAGAACCCGCACAAAAACAGAAGGATGGGCCCCACAAGTAGAGTTTCTGAATCTGAAGATGTAGGGTGGGGTAGGATAATTTGCATTTCTAATGAGTTCCCAAATGATGCTGATACTATTGCTGTTATTGCTGGTTCAGAGATTACAATTAGACCACACTTGGAGAACCTTGGGATAATGTACATTATGAGAAGTATAATTTTGGAATAGGAGGACATAAAGTTATTTTAATAATATTTTTTAAAATATATCTTCATTGATTTCAGAGAGGAAGGGAGAGGGAGAGAGAGATAGAAACATCAATGATGAGAGAGAATCATCAATCCATCAATCTGCTGCCTCCTGCACACCCCCTATGAGGGATCGAGCCCACAACCCAGGCATGTGCCCTTGACCGGAATCGAACCCGTGACTCTTCAGTCCGCAGGCTGACACTCTATCCACTGAGCCAAACCAGCTAGGACTCAATAATATTTTAATATTATAACTATATTTAAAATGTTTGTTAAACCAATTTTGCAGCATTACTGTGCTATTTTTTTTTTTTTAATCTCCTTCCTTGGCTCTGTGCTGTCCAGGCAAATGCCACCCATAATAAGCCTTCTTTTCTCTTAGGCCAATAAACTGCTCAATAATTATGCTACATTATTTCTAATTTACTTTCAAAGCTTTATTTGAAATATAAGCAGGTCAATTGGCTTTCAGTTATGTATTCATAAAGAATAGGTGGCCACTTGTGCCTGGGCAACTAAGCAGCCCAATACCCAGCTCTTCTCTATAAGCGTTAGGACTGCACACCCTTACTCTGTTAAACAGGGGTCCAGTGGCTGTCTCAGTGATGGCTACTTCTCTGGCACCACTAAGATCCAGTGACAAAAGTGTCACCTTTTCCAAGAATCAGTGAGAAAATCTGGTGTCCTAGAAAAGTTGTTTTACGGGCTATGGAACACCACCAGGATCCTCCCCATCCTCCCCACCAAGGTCAGGGAAGACAGAAGGAAGCATTAAACTTTTTGTACATTTACAACCCCACCTTGTGAGTCCATGCTCTCTCTAGGGACCAGCTGGTTTGGAGGAAAAACAAGTAACTTCTAGTTCTACTCCTGAACCTATAAATCAAATTCTTAAGGAGATGGCTATTTAAAATTAGAACATTAATGCTTAAAGGTTTAAGTGATAGGAAATTTGAAATATACTAGTGTAATGATTAAACTTTTAAAAATATTTTATGTATGGTCAAACTAAGATTAGAATGGATAACCAAGTCACTTGCATTGTTTTTTTAATAATTGTTTTCTGCTGGGGTCCAACCCCAGCAGGTCCAGGGGTCTCCAAAGGTGTGGACGGAGTCGGCGAAGAAGGAATGACACAGAGACAGCATTCAGTTGATCAGCAGCCTAGCCAGGATCTCTAGCCAAGTTCTGGTTGGGATCTCCAGCCAAGTTCTGTAGCCATGTTCTCTCGCTAGGTTCTCCAGCCAGGTTCTCCAGCCAGGTTCTCCAGGTTCTCCAGCCAGGTTTGGTCACCAGGTTCTGTCTAGGTTCTCCAGCCAAGTTCTGTAGCCAGGTTCTGTCCAGGATCTTTTGCCATGTTCTCTCACTAGGTTCTGTCTCTAGGTTCTGTGTCCTGTTGTCTTGTTACATCTGTATTTATACCAGTTGATTCCAATCCTATCAATCTCTATTCCAAAGGTTAGGGCGTTTCTTATCTCCATTCCAGGGAGTAAAGATTATGTAGCTTAAGCGTGATTGTTCGTAGTTAAAGTGATTAACTACCCACCTGGCACTTAGTTAAGGGGTTTTATTCCCTCCCTAACTTCAGGGGAAAATCCCTACCTGGGGAAACAACCTTTCTCGGATAGGTGACCTTGGTTAAAACACATAGCGCCAAGAAGGTGAGCAAACATATTAAGAACAGTATGCCATATACGCCAGGTCCCTTGAAACATATGCTGTGCAGATGTTTCTTCCCTGCAGCGACTGTGTCAAGCAGCAAGGATGGACCAGCTCCCAGCAGTTTTCATTGTCTAAAGTTTTTTAAAAAATATATTTCTTTATTGATTTCAGAGAGGAAGGGAGGAGAGAGAGATAGAAACATCAATGATGAGAGAGAATCATTGATTGGCTGCCTCTTGCACGCCCCCCACTGGGGATCAAGCCTGCAACCCAGGCATGTGCCCTTGGCAGGAATCGAACCTGGGACCCTTCAATCCCCAGGCTGACGCTCTATCCACTGAGCCAAGCCGGGCAGGGCTAAAGCTTTACATATCTCTTCTTTTCCCCCCAATTGACCCCCACCCCCACCCCAGTGCATTGTTTTTGTGTGTGTATTTGTGAACTCTCACCAGATCTTTTAAGTCTTTTGTCATTTGCAGGCAGTTGTTATTTTACCCTGATGCTTTTGCAAAAGTGTTTCTGCAAAGATGGTTTCATCTTCAGAGAAATTCATGGAAAGGACTCTGACACTTACTCTAAAATACAGGGTTCTAATAAACTTTCAAATCATACCATTAAACTGGGTGAAGATTTGCAGAATTCTAAAATAAAAAACTGGATTCATAAAACTGCTAACAAAAAGATCAAGATAAATAAGAATTAATAACATGGGACTGAATGAAGTGGTGACAATGATTATAATTTAATGACATCTTTGAAATATTACTTTAAAAAATCTGTTTTCCAGATCCCCACCCACCCACCCAACTCCCCATCCCTGCAAGCTACCTATGACCTACAGCAGTTTGGAAAAGTATACCTTTGTAAACATTTACCTTTCCTTACAGAAAGGTAACTTTCCCATGCTTACTTTAGCTCCTTCCTATCTCACAATGTGAGAGGCCAAGCACTCACTATAATAATTATTGTTTTCTTTTTTTTCCTTAATTTCTGCCTGGAAAGATAACGTGACATTGGGCATCATCTTCAAACCTACTTCACAGGTCAAAAGGTGCAACTGGTTACACACGTAGTTAAGAATCTTCAATGCCTAGTGATGCCAACCCCAGGATAGGTGCCAGATTTAGAAAAACACTTTTTCTTTAAGCAGGTATTGCAATGAATTAGTACCTGATTAAAAACTTATCAAAAACCTTAGAGAAGATTTTCTGGAGTTACCGCCAAAGCAATAGCCAACCAGGACAAATCTTTAAATTCCCTTGTGCCAGTTATATTAG